CCTGTAGTTTGAAGCCATTGTTCCATTGCGTCCTAGTCTCCAGGGAAGCAGAAAACAAGCTTGCTCCCTCCTCCTCCCTGTGGCTTCCTCTCACATATTTATACATGGCCATCATATCTCCTCTCAGCCTTCTCTTCTTCAGGCTAAACATGCCCAGCTCCTAATGCCGCTCCTCATAGGGCTTGTTCTCCAGACCCTTGATCATTTTAGTCGCCCTCCTCTGGACACATTCCAGCTTAGTGTCAATATCTCTCATGAGAGAAGCCTCCCATAAGGATGGGGAAACATCAAACATTTTTATTTATATAGATTTGACATTTAATAAGCTTTACCTTAATCCCTCCTTATTATCCAACATTTTTTCTTATCCAACGTTCTGCCGGCCCATTTATGTTGGACAAGTGACTCTACTGTATTTCAATAGGAAAATTCACTTTGAGTTAAGAGCATTTTAAGTTAAGAGCTCAGTCATGAAATGAATTAAAATCTAACCTCAAGGTATCACCGTACTGTGAATAAATAGGTATTAATAGGTGAATTGCATTTTAATGGTAATTTTTTTCTGTGTTTAAAGTTGGAAGTTGCCTTTGCTAGAGCAAAGCCTATAAAGAGCCTTGGGATGGGAAAGGGTCTTTATACATGTATGTATTAACTCAGGAACCCATTCATACGGGAAAGGGTCTTGTCAGCAGGGGTCGCCCCTGCACTGCGGAAGAGTTCCATTCTCACAAGGTCTTTCCCCCCTCCTTTTCCTTTGCCTCCTTTCCCTTCTCTATACCTGGGTCTACACTTCCAAATAATGCAGTGTGAACTGCATGACAGGGTCAGACCCATATAATGCAGTTCAATGAAATCAAATTGCAGTATTTGGCCACGACTCCCAAAGTGACACGTGTGAGGTGGGATCAGGTGTCAACCAGGGATGATGCGTTATAGCCACATACTGTATTGCGGAAGGCTTTCATGGCCGGAATCACTGGGTTGTTGTAGGTTTTTTTGGGCTATATGGTCATGTTTTTCAGGCTATATGGCCATCCAGCAAAGATGGAGATCCTATGGCTGGGTCAACCGGGCATTGGGGATATCCAGCTGCCTACCCTGGATGGCGAGGCGCTACGCCCGTCATCATTGGAAAGTGTCTGGGAGTCCTTTTGGACCCTCTGCTGACGATGGAGGCCCAGGTCTCCTCTGTTAGCAGAACCGCCTTCTTTCACCTGCGGCAGGCTAGATGGTTGGCCCCCTCCCTGTTCAGGGACGACCTAGCTACGGTGATCCAGGCTACGGTCATCTCAAGACTGGGCTACTGTAACACCCTCTACATTGGCCTTCCTCTGTCAGTGATCCAGAAGTTCAAGTTGGTGCAAAATGCAGCTGCTCGGCTTCTTGCGGGAATTCCGATGAGATGCCACATCACCCCAATCTGACTGCAGCTGCATTGGTTACCAATTGAGCACCGGATCACTTTCAAAGGGATGGGACTCACCTTTAAGGCCTTGCATGGTCTGGGGGCGATATACCTGATGGACCACCGCACCCCCTACCAACCCCAGAGATCCCTCCGTTCTGAGGGATCTCCGTTATTGGAAATTCCCAGTGTCAAGACCTTGCGTCTAACAGCAACCAGACGCAGAGCCTTCACAGCAGTGGCACCATCACTCTGGAATACTCTGTCACCTGAAGTCCGTGCCTTGCGGGACCTATCAGCTTTCCGCAGGGCATGTAAGACATATCTGTTTCGACAGGCCTTTGATCTTTGATATTGTTGTTTTTAAATTGTTTTTACATTGTTTTAATTTTTAAAAAAATGTGTTAGATTTTAGCCTGTTCTTGTAAGCCGCTCCAAGCCCCGGGGGAGTGGCGGCAGATAAGTTTGAATAATAAATAAATAAATAAATGTTTTAGAGCCATTCTCTCCTGACGTTTCGCCTGCATCTATGGCAAGCATCCTCAGATACTTATTTTCCATCTGCATAGCTATGATTCTGCACCTTGTTGATGAAAAGCTCCCCTCCGGTGTGGAAATTATTTCTCTAACAGATGGCAAGCTCTTTAACCTCTGCAGGCTGAAAGCCAAAAGTAAGGACGCAACAATGCCTGTTCTAGAACTAACAATAATGTAGTCTGTATTAATTCAGAGAAATATGTGAGGGGGAGTCCTAGAGAGGAGGGAGCAGGCTTGTTTTTTGCTGCCCTGGAGACTAGGACACGGAACAACAACAATAATAATAATAATCATCATCATCATCATCATCATCATTATTTATACCCCGCCACCATCTCCCCAATGGGGACTCGGAGCGGCTTACATGAGGCCAAGCCCAAATAACAATTACAATAAAGAAAAACCAAAACACAAACCGAAAACGCGAACCATAAACAATAACATCATAGTTACATAAAGGGAACCATACATCAAGGGAACCACTGACCACATAGGAAAACTGATGAGGAAACACAACATACAAACCACTTACAGACCCACCAAGAAAATCCAACAAATGCTATGTCCAGCAAAGGACAAGAGGGATCCTCTCACCTCTGCAGGAGTCTACCGTGTACCATGCAGCTGTGGACAAGTCTACATAGGGACCACCAAATGCAGCGCCCACACACGCATCAAGGAACATGGAAGGCTCTGCAGACTACTCCAACCAGAGAAATCAGCCACAGCAGAGCACCTGATGAACCAGCCTGGACACAGCATATTATTTGAGAACACAGAAATGCTGGACCACTCTCACAACCGATCATGTCAGACTACACAGAGAAGCCATTGAAATCCACAAACATGTGGACAATTTCAACACAAAGGAGGAGACCATGAAAATGAACAAAATCTGGCTACCAGTATTAAAGGACTCAAAAATCACAACAGCAAAACAACAGAGGGGAAACAACCAGGCACAGATTAACACCTCCCAGCAAGAGATTCCCCCCGGGCACTTCCAGGCCATTGAATGCTAATCAAGGTGATCAGCTGAAACATTCACACCTAGCTCCAGCAGACAAAAGTCCTTTGTCCCGCCCTGGTCATTCCACAGATATATAAACCATTTTTCCTACTTCCAACAGACCTCGATACCTCTGAGGATGCTTGCCATACATGCAGGAGAAACGTCAGGAAAAAATTGCCTCCAGAACATGGCCATATAGCCCGGAAAAACCTACAACAACCCAATGTAAAAATTACAGCAAACACAAACACAACAACAATGGGCGGGCTATATGTCATGATTAAAAGACAAACTAATTAAAACTAATTAAAAACCTGGGCGAGATAAAAGAGAGAAGCAGGTAATTTGCGAAGGAGGGCTCATTATAGCAGGAGTTGTGGAATCAATCAATCAATGTACTGTCGAAGGCTTTCATGGCTGGAATCACTGGGTTGTTGTAGGTTTTTTCGGGCTATATGGCCAAGTTCTAGAGGCATTCTCTCCTGATGTTTCGCCTGCATCTATGGCAAGCATCCTCAGAGGTAGTGAGGTCTGTTGGAACTAGGAAAAGGGGATTGACCAGGGTGGGACAAAGAACTCTTGTCTGCTGGAGTTAGGTGTGAATGTTTCAACTGACCATCTTGATTAGCATATAATGGTCTGACAGAGCCTGGAGCAAAGTTTTGTTGAGCGGTGATTAGATGTCCTTGTTTGTTTCCTCTCTGTTGTTGTGCTGTTGTAATTTTAGAGGTTTTTTAATACTGGTAGCCAGACTGTGTTCATTTCCATGGTTTCCTCCTTTCTGTTGACATTGTCCACATGCTTGTGGATTTCAGTGGCTTCTCTGTGTAGTCTGACATGGTGGTTGTGAGAGTGTTCCAGCATTTCTGTGTTCTCAAATAATAATCTGCTGTGTCCAGGTTGGTTCATCAGGTGCTCTACTATGGCTGATTTCTCTGGTTGAAGGAGTCTGCAGTCTTAAAAAAAAATCACAACAGCACAACAACAGAGAGGAAACAATCTGGGACATCTAATCACCTCTCAACAAAAGATTGCTCCAGGCTCTGTCAGACCATTATATATTAATCAAGGTGGCCAGTTGAAACATTCACACCTAGCTCCATCAGACAAGCGTTCTTTCTCCCTCTCTGGACTTTCCACAGATACATAAACCCCATTTTCCTAGTTCCAACAGACCTCAAAACCTCTGAGGATGCCTGCCATTGATGCAGGCGAAACGTCAGGAGAGAATGCTTCTAGAACATGGCTATACAGCCCGAAAAACCTACAACAAGCCAAAGAGGAGATTCCATTGAACATTAGGAAGAACTTCCCGAGTGTAAGAAGAGAAGACAATAAACAATCGGGGCCAGCTAATCACCTCCCAACAAAGGAGTTCCTCAGGCAGCAAAAAGCCAGACCTTGAAACTGCTAGGTCATTAAATGCTAATCAAGGTGGGCAATTGCTAAAATTACACCTAGCTCCAACAGACAAGAATCCTTTGTCCCACTCTGTTCATTCCACAGATATATAAACCCATTTTCCTAGTTTCCAACAGACCTCACAACCTCTGAGGATGCCTGCCATAGATGTTGGCGAAACATCAGGAAAGAATGCTTCTGGAACATTGCCATACAACCTGGAAAACATACAAAAACTCAGTAAGAAGAGCTGTTCAGCAGTGGAACTCTCTGCCTCGGAGTCTGTGGAAGCTCCTTCCTTAGGAGGCTTTGAAACAGAGGCTGGATGGCCATCTGTCGGGGGTGCTTTGATTGTGCTTTTCCTGCATAACAGAAGGGGATTGGACTGGGTGGTTTTTGGGTTTGATTATATGCTTCCAACTCTCCCTTTCACCTGTGTCTTCTCTCTCTCTCTCTCTCTGGCCTTTCCTCTCCTTCGCTTCTCTGTTGAAATGCCTTCCCCACAACCTGAGGGAGGCAGCTCTGACGCGCGTTTCATACGTCACTTCCGCCGCATCCGCGGCTCCTGATTGGCCCGCCTCCGGGGAGGCAGCGCTGAGGCGCATTTCATACGTCACTTCCGCCGCAGCCGCGGCTCCTGATTGGTCCGCCTCTAGGAAGGGCTTCCGGTTGGAGTGTTTTGTCCAAGATGGCGTCGGCGGCGTCGTCTGCGGAGCTGCATCAACTCCAGGGCAGGCTGGAGGCCCTCGAGGGGCGCGTCTTCGGGGCCCCCGCCGGGAAGGACGCCTCCGGATCCGCCAGGAAGGTAACGCAGCCCCCGCCGGGCCCCTTCTCCCCGCTCCCACGCAGGGAAAGCACAATCAGAGCACCCCCCACAGAAGGCCATCCGGCCTCTATTTAAATATTACTATAATACTAACCGTCCTCAGCCAGGCATCGTTGTGGCCCAGTTTAGGGATCTGGAAAATAAAATAACGAGAAAGTATTGGGTTGTTGTATGTTTTTTCGGGCTATATGGCCTTGTTCTAGAGGCATTCTCTCCTGACGTTTCGCCTGCATCTATGGCAAGCATCTTCAGAGGTTGGGAGGTCTGTTGGAACTAGGAAAAAGGGTTTATACATCTGTGGAATGACTGGGGTGGGGCAAAGACCTCTTGTCTGCTGGAGCTAGGTCTGAATGTTTCAACTGATCACCTTGATTAGCATGCTGGTCGCTTCTGTACGCATGCCCAGTGTGGAACACATCTCACCACACTAAAACAATAGATGTGGCTCTGAATGAGACATGCCGCATTATCACGGGGTGTCTGCGCCCTACATCACTGGAGAAATTACACTGCTTAGCCAGTATTGCACCACCTGACATCTGCCGGGAAGTAGCAGCCAATACTGAAAGGACCAAGGCAGAGACATCTCCAGCTCATCCCCTGTTTGGGTATCAGCCGGTACGTCAACAACTTAAATCAAGAAATAGTTTCCTAAGATCTACAGAGACACTCGCTGGAACACCTCAGCAAGCGAGAGTCCAAAAGTGGCAGGCCCAACCCCAGCACCTCAACCAATGGCTGATACCAAATGAGAGACTCCCCCCTGGGCACACAGAAGACTGGGCGACTTGGAAGGTGCTGAACAGACTGCGCTCTGGCACCACGAGATGCAGAGCCAATCTTAATAAATGGGTCTACAAAGTGGAATCCACGACATGCGAGTGTGGAGAAGAGCCAACCACTGACCACCTAGTGCAATGCAGCCTGAGCCCTGCCACATGCACCATGGAGGACCTTCTTGCAGCAACACCAGAAGCCCTCCAAGTGGCCAGATACTGGTCAAAGCACATTTAATCAACTACCAAACTCACAAATGTTGTATTTTGTCTGTTTGTTTGCTTTGTTCTGTTAGAAATGTAATATAATGGACTGGTTGCCCTGACACGACAAACAAGTAAAAACTTGATTAGCATAAAATGGTCTGACAGTGCCTAGAGCAAACTTTTGTTGAGAGGTGATTAGATGTCCTTGTTTGTTTCCTCTCTGTTGTTGTGCTGTTCTAATTTTAGAGTTTTTTAATACTGGTAGCCAGATTTTGTTCATTTTCATGGTTTCCTCCTTTATGTTGAAATTGTCCACATGCTTCTTGTGGATTTCAATGGCTTCTCTGTGTAGCCTGACATGGTGGTTGTGAGAGTGTTCCAGCATTTCTGTGTTTTCAAATAAAATGCTATACTCCTGACATCCCTGTTGTGTCGGCACCATAAGAGGGTTTTGCAAGGCCAGTCGCTCTTGTTGCCTTGTAGTTTTGAGGCAATGGTATAGTAATGATGAGGCTGAAGACCATATTTTCGTTCATGCAGACCACAGGTTTGGAACCACTGTTCTACAGTGTAGATGCAGCCTTAATCTTGCATCCCTTTGGTCTTAAATCCAAATCAGACAAACCCTCGGATCTGACTGCTTTTATATGTCTCTTCACTCTGCTAAGAAAACATTATTTGGTGGATCAAACTTGGGTAGGTATTAGAACATAAAAGATGCGATTTTTCAGGACATCAAGGGAATCACAGTTTACCTCACTCTGGTAATTTCAGTTGCTCAGCTTCATCTGCATTCTCTTAACAAACTTATTTTCTTTTTCAGATAGGAGACGGCTTAGGCAAAGTACAGGTGACTTTGAACAACATAGCAAGTAAAAGAGAAAGGGTTAAAATCCTTTTCAAAAAAAGTAAGTTCTCTTTTACGTTTTTCATGAATAAGCTTTAGATCTATTGTTAGTGTAATCAAAAGAGTTCTTCTGATTTTTGACCATCAGAGAAGTTTGGAGAGTGCATTCTGGGAGACATAGTGTGCATCTGTACTGTGTAAATAATTCAGTTTGACAGCAGTTTAGCTGTCATGGCTCAGTGCTGTGGAATCCTGGGAGTTGTAGTTTGATGAAGCACCAGCACTCTTTGGCAGAGAAGGCCAAAGACCTGTAAAACTACAACTGTAGCATTGAACCCTGGGAGGTGTGTGTACAGTAGTTCCTGGTTGAATAGAATAAATATAGAATAATCAGAAGTAGCTGTTAGAGCGTCACAGACATTTGTTTTGTTCTCATGTTATAATTAAGTATTTAAAGCTTTATATGAATTTTGAAAACTGGAATCTTTATAATAATGGGGAGATAATATATATTTCCCTACAGTTAACATATTATGAAATTTTCTTGGCAAGATTTGTTCAGAGGGAAGTTTACCTTCTTCTGAGTCTGGGAAAGTATGATTTGCCTGATACCATCCAATGGTCTCTAGAGCAGCGTTTCTTAACCTGGGGGTCAGGACCCCTAGGGGGGTCATGAGGGGGTGTCAGAGGGGTCGCTAGAGACTGATCTGTTGATCATGGGGGTTTGTGGGAAGTTTGGCCCACCCAATTCTATCATTGGTGGGGTTCAGAATGCTCTCCCAAATGTCAAGGTGTATTTTCCTCAAACTCCACCCGTGTTCACATTTGGGCATATTGAGTATTTGTTCCAAGTTTGGTCCAGATCCGTCATTGTTTGAGTTCACAGTGCTCTCTGGATGTAGGTGAACTACAACTCCAAAACTCAAGGTCAATGCCCACCAAACCCTTCCAGTATTTTCTTTTGGTCGTGGGAATTCTGTATGCCAAATTTGGTTCGATTCCATTGCTGGTGGAGTTCAGAATGCTCCTTGATTGTAGGTTAACTATAATTCCCAGCAACTACAACTCCCAAATGACAAAATCAACCTCCCCCCAACCCCACCAGTATACAAATTTGAGCGTATTGAATATTTGTGCCAAATTTGGTTCAGTGAAGGAAAATACATCCTGCATATCAGATATTTACATGACAATTCATGACAGTAGCAAGATGAAGTTATGAAGTAGCAACGAAAATAATGTTATGTTTGGGGGTCACCACAACATGAGGAACTGTATTGAAGGGTCGCGGCACTAGGAAGGTTGATAACCACTGCTCTAGAGTCTTGGTTCAATACTCAAACCACTAATTGGCTCTCCATAGTCCTCTGCGGCTGCCACTAAGTTCCAAGAAAATGTGTCGAGAGCCATAGGAGTTTGTAACTGGCTGTGTGCTTCTAGGCATTAGATATCAACTGACAATGCTTTTTCTACAAAAAATGTCAGGCTATCCCAAGAAAACAACAACACATCCCTTTTTTCTTTCGAACCTAACACGCTTATTTTAGCATAAACTGTTGTGTATTGCAGTCTGTTTCCTCAGATATATATCTATTCTTACAGTCTCTAACATTCCTTTTCTCTGTTTGTGTTTTATGTTTGTTTTGCCATCACTGACACAAGTTGAAGACATCATAAAATACTTGGATCCTCAATACATTGATCGAATGGCCATTCCAGATGCGATGAAGCTGCAATTTATCTTGGCAGGTAATTCTTAAATGAAAGGCTGCAAATTTTAAGCAATTCATTTGTTTTGGTTGTATTTTAAATGTAGGTGCCATATTTTTCAGGAGATTTACATAGGCCGGTTCTACACTGCCAAATAATGCAGTTTTAACTGCATTATAGGGTTACACATAGACTTATATACAGGCAGCCCACAAGTTACAAACATCAACAACAGGATGAGACAACAGGAAGTGAAAGGAAATCTACCCCTAGGAAGAGAAATTTACACCTGGGAGAGTTATTATCCTGGGGAAAAGGTGTCTCCACAGAAGTTTTATCTCCAGTCCTCGTTTCCATGACACCCCAAAGTTTTCCAAATCCAATTATCACAGGGAGAGAAAGTGAGGTGAGATCTTCTCACCAGGGACACAGGCAGCACCACAAACTCCAAAGGGCGTGATAATCCTTCCCTGTGCTCTCGAAACTGTGATCATATAATACAATCCAAATATCTGTAGATTATGTTCAAATAGTAGTTTGTATTGCTTTGAATGGCAGGGATGTAATTAGGAGAGAACAGGCTTGTTTTCTTCTGCTTTGGAGACCAAGACTGAAAGTTGCAGTTGGTTCAAATGACAGGAAAGGAGATTCCACCTGAACATTAGGAATAACTTCCTGACCATAAGAAATTCTATTCAACAGTGGAACTCTCAATATCAAACGGACAATGTATTGGGAATCTCACATCAGAACAACATATTTTATGTGTGGCCAAGACCCAAAAATAACATATAAAACAGCTCTGTACTTAAGCAAAACAATACGTCTGAGAACCACATATGTGGGGCTGATTGGGGTAAATTGTAGGGGTGATAAGGAAATATTATGTATATGCTCAGCTTGATCGGTTTATCAGTTTTACCATGTCTTATATTTATTTACTGTATTGTTATAAGTGAATGATTTTAACTTACTACATGGAGAGTGATCGGGTCTTGTCAGACCTTGTTGTTCTGTTTCTTATTGTGATATGGCCTAAAGGCTAATCAATAAAATTACTAGTACAGTGGAACTCTACCTCAGAGTCCAGTGGAAGCTCTGTGCTTGGAGGCTGATGGGCCATCTCTCAGGGGTGCTTGGATTGTGCTTTTCCTGCCTGGCACAAGGGGGTTAGACTGGATTGCCCTTGGGATCTCTTCCAACTGTACGATTCATTGAATGCCAGCTGTATTTTTGGACTGCAGTTCTGGACACAGTTTCCTCTTAGTAAACTCTGTTGAACTCGGTGCTGCTTGCTTAGGAGTAGAATCTGCTTTGTTTGTTGTTGTAAGCATTCTTATATTTGGCTATATGGCTGAAAAGCCAGGTTAATTGGATTGTCCATTTGCACCTCTTGGACAAGGGCTGTGTTATTTATTGATTGCTATCCACTGAAACCTGTGGTTGTGTTCTTCCTTCTCAGAGGAGCAGTCCATCATGGCTCAGGTGGCACTTCTGGAGCAGGTCAGCAGCCTGCAACCTTACCTGGACAGCGCCCACATCAAAGGTGAGCATCCCTGGGGCTCAGCTTTCCATGTTGTACAAAGCCTTTCGCATTTCCTTGGCCTTACAATTGCCTTCATTCTCCTTATATCCTCTAAAGCTCATAGACATGCAGGTGATTAGGGAGACTTCACCATCTCTTCTCATTCATGCCTTCTGTCCACTGTCCCTAGAGGTTTAGATGTCCAGTTGGCTAGTGCTTGCCTCATTGGTCAGTTGGGCAGAGTTGCATAGATGTTTGTTGGAGCTCAGCCTTGTGTTTCAGGATCAGGGTGTTTTGGATGTGGTGAATGATGTCAATGAGTTGCAAGATGAGTTTCAAGATGGCAATGGCTTGGCCAGTGATATTGATGCAGAGAATGACCAGGAGATCCCTGTTCAAAGTGTAGTTTCCCATGAGAATGTCCCTGAGAGGTGTGGGGATGATGGTGAGCTTTCTGAATTGTAACCAGCGAGTTCCCATGATAGGGAACATGAAAATAGCTCAGTGCCTGGCCCAGCTGCACAAGTTAATGAGCAAATAGATAGACGGGAGGAGATAGTCAAAACAGGAGAGTTGAATAGTGGCTTTGGTGTTCTGCCAGGCTCTGAGAGAAAAAGATAAGAAATTCTCAGCTAAAGCGAAACCGATTTCTGAGCACTAGAGACATAGCTAACAAGGAGATAAAAGTCCCAAGTACAGGATATGTAGTCAGATGAAGCATCGTTTGGAATCAAGTCAAGATCTTGTCCTTGTTCATAGAAACCTTGCTTGGAAAATTCATGTTTTAAGTGCCTTTGTTTCATGGTTTTGGCCTATGCTTTTATATTGATGCCTTGGATTCATGTTTCCTGATCTCTTGCATTTCATTTGGGAAATTTTGACTTTGTTTTTATGGCCTTTACTGGACTATTACCCTGGACTACTTTGTTCCTGCTTATCTTCCTACCTAATTGGATTTGCCTATATCTTTAAAGTGTTTTTTTTACCTTACTGCTTTTTAATTATCTTTAATAAAAGGATTGTTTTCCTTTCAACGGTGTGGTGTTTAAAGTCAGAGGGCATTTCCTGTCCTGGAGTGCAACATTGTTCTAGCCTTTTCACTTCATATGTGATTCATAGAATCTATGGTTCTATAAATATCGTTCCTGAGAATTTGGTATTCTTATCTTCATCTTTCTTTTGCAGCCGCTCCTGATCACGCGGCCAAACTGCAGCGACTTTCACAGATCCACATTCAGCAGCAGGTAGGTCAGATCCTGGAATACTTCAGAAAACTATGTTTAGTTTAAGCTTTCACCTTTTTTAAAACTTTGGACAAAAAATAGAAGCAAAGATCTCTCAATGTTTTGGAGGATGTGTTGGTGGGGATGTGGGGAATCTAGGCCTGAGTTCTACTCTGATTTAATTGGCCCCATTTATACTGCCATATAATTCAATGTGAAACTGCATTGCATGGTCAGTGTAGACCAGGCATGGACAAACTTTTGAACCTCCAGGAGTTTTGGACTTCCAATTTCCACAATTTCGAACAGCCTACCAGCTGTGTTGTCGAAGGCTTTCATGGCTGGAATCACTAGATCGCTGTGAGTTTTCCGGGCTGTCTGGCCATATTCCAGAAGCATTCTCTCCTGATGTTTTGCCCACATCTATGGCAGGCATCCTCAGAGGTTGAGGAGTCTGTTGGAAACTAGGCAAGAGAGGTTTATATATCTGTTGAATGTTCAGAGCATTCCTAACTGGCTGTTAGGAATTGTGAAAGTTGAAGTCCAGAACACCTGGAGAGGCCAAGTTTGCCCATGACTGGTGTAGACCAATATAATGCAGTTCGGTTAAATGCATTTATGAGTGTAGGCCACATCACAAGAAATCTGGAGCAAACGTAAAGTCAAAAAATATAAAGCTGAGCTGGAGCAGGCTGCAAAGGGGACAAAACTTTGGGTGCATCTACAGCAGTGGTTCCCAACCTGTGGTCCATGGACCACCAGTGGTCTGCAAAAACTAAAATATGGCCCACAGCCTCACCATTACTACACTGTTGCAACAAGAGTGACTGGTTGTGTGAAACCCTCTTACAGTGCTGAGGCTTATTAAATATGGATTCTAGAATCCTAGAATCCAAGAGTTGGAAGAGACCTCCTGGGCCATCGTCCAGTCCAACCCCATTCTGCCAAGAAGCAGGAATATTGCATTCAAATCACCCCTGACATATGGCCATCCAGTCTTTGTTTAAAAGCTTCCAAAGAAGGAGCCTCCACCACACTCCAGGGCAGAGAGTTCCACTGCTGAACGGCCCTCACAGTCAGGAAGTTCTTCCTCATGTTCAGATGGAATCTCCTTCCTTGTAGTTTGAAGCCATTGTTTCATGTCCCGGTCTCCAGAGAAGCAGAAAACAAGGATTCTGTGGGCGAGCAGATAGTGACTCCTGGATGACATATATTTTATATCAGAAACTAGAGCTGATGTGGCCTATCCAATGCAGTTTTCTGAATCAGCACCAAATAACCAAACTGAATCTAAAAGTTGTCCAAAAACTGATTCGTAACCCTTTTGGTACTATTGCTAGAGAGTGGTCCCTGGTCAGAAAAAGGTTGGAAACCACTGATCTACACTGAAGAATTAATATAGTGTGACACCTTAACTGCCATACAGTTGCTAATGCTATGTAAACATGGACTTTTTAGTTTTACAAAGTCTTTAGCTCTGGAATGTGTCCAGAGGAGGGTGACTAAAATGATCAAGGGTCTGGAGAACAAGTCCTATGAGGGGCGGCTTAAAGAGCTGGGCATGTTTAGCTTGGAGAAGGCTGAGAGGAGATATGATAGCCATGTATAAGTATGTGAGAGGAAGTCACAGGGAGGTGTGAGCAAGCTTGTTTTCTGCTTCCCTGGAGACTAGGACGCAATGGAACCATGGCTTCAAACCCCAAGAAAGGAGATTCCATCTGAACATGAGGAAGAACTTCCTGACAGTGAGAGCCGTTCAGCAGTGGAACTCTCTGCCCCAGAGTGTGGTGGAGGGTCCTTTTTTGGAAGCTTTTAAACAGAGGCTGGATGGCCATCTGTCAGGGGTGATTTGAATGCAATATTCCTGCTTCTTGGCAGAATGGGGTTGGACTGGATGGCCCACGAGGTCTCTTCCAATTCTAGGATTCTGCCAAAAAGTAGTAGCAGTTCACAAAGTCCCAGGATTCTCTATAGCCTTGAACTGCAGCAGATAAAGTGATGTCGGGCTGTATTATAATCCCATAGTATTGATGCACCCAGTGTTTTCAGCATTGCGGTCTGAGAGTTCTTTTGCAAGAAGCCTGATTCAGCAGAGTTGTTGTTTAGCCATAAAACACCGAAGGAGCGAGGAGGAGAAATGCTTAACTCCTTTAATGTTGCAGGACCAGAGTGAAGCGGTGACGGAGAACGTCCGGTTACTCCTGGATGATTACAACACAATGGTATCCTTTTTAACGCAGAGCTGTTGGGGGAAGAGTTTCAGCAAGGAGGGTGGCAAACTCTGTGGATGAAACCTGCCCCTCTGAAGCCAACAAGGCTTTCTTCTAGCGCTCACCATTCCTAAAGCGTGTCTACACTTGTAGAATGAATGCAAGTTGACGCCACTTCAGTTACTATGGCTCAGGGCTATGGAATCGTAGGAGTTGTAGTTTTTCCAAGTCTCCAGCCTTCTCTGCAAGAGAGTGTTGATGCATCACCAAACTGCAAATCCCAGCATTCTAGAGTCCTGAGCCAGGGCAGTTCAAGTAGTGTTAAGCTGCATTACAGCCACATATTTAATATTTTCCACCAGCTGTTAAAGAGTAACTGTGTGAAATGGCAGAAATCTGTTCTGTTTTCATTTTGAAATTCTGGTACACCCCTCCCCTCCCATTGGTTTCTTTTTTTGGGAAGATTCCAGGAGTTTAGAAGGGAATCCTGAGTTCCATCCGGTTGTTGTAGGCTTTTTGGGCTATATGGCCCTGGTCTAGAAGCATTCTCTCCTGACGTTTCGCTGCATCTATGGCAAGCATCTTCAGAGGTTGTGAAAACAAACCTCACAACCTCTGAGGAATGTTTGCCACAGATGAAGGCAAAACTTCCTCCTCTAGAACATGGCCATATAGCCCAAAAAACCTGCAACAACCCAGTTATTCCAGCCATGAAAGCCTTCTACAATACACTGAGTTCCATTTTTGTAATGTCGAAGGCTTTCATGGCCGGAATCACTGGGTTGCTGTAGGTTTTTTCGGGCTATATGTCCATGTTCTAGAGGCATTCTCTCCTGACGTTTCGACTGCATCTATGGCAAGCATCCTCAGAGGTAGTGAGGTCACTACCTCTGAAGATGCTTGCCATAGATGCAGGCAAAATGTCAGGAGAGAATGCCTCTAGAACATGACCATATAGCCCAAAAAAACCTACAACAACCCAGTTCCATTTTTGTTTTGGTAAGTTTTGGTCCATTGGTGCCAATGGGGAAACTGTAGAGGCTTGTTTCTCCATCATTTTTACGACTATCAGAATGAAACCTGGCACACTTGGAGGACACATTTATGGCTCTATGTCTATTAAGTTTCATGGCTTTACTCTCATCTACTGATTTTGTGGAAATTTTAAATAGATAGATCAATAGATAGATATAGGCACAGCGACAGAACATGAGTAGGGCATCATTCCAGCAAAGTTTCAGACAAACTTAGTCATCCACTGATTTTAAGGATTTTTTTTCCCATTGTTGAAGCATTATCTCTCCTTTGGGGTGATGTGGGCTGAGTGTAGCCATATTTGCTCCATCACATGGTCTGCCTCAGCCAATCACAGTCTGGTTTTCTTCTCCATTGTCCAGGACTTCAAGTCCCAGAATTCCCCTGTTTTTTGTCCTTCAAGTTGTCTCCTCCTTTCAGGAGGAGAGAAAAAAAATTAAAAATCTGTATCTACAAATCGCCAAATGTAGCGATGGTAGGTCATGCTCTGCTTACATCCCGGATAGACTACTGCAATGCACACTATGTAGGGTTGCCTTTGAAGACTGTGTGGAAGCTTCAGTTAGTCCAACACTTGCCAGCCAGGTTGCTCACGGGAGCAGGGTACTAAGAGCGCACAACGTCCTTGTTACGCCAGCTCCACTGGCTGCCGATTAGCTTCCTTCCTAGCACAATTCAACGTGCTGTCTTTGACCTATAAAACCCTAAACGGTTCTGGATCAGTTTGCCTGTCTGAACGTATCTCCTGCTGTGAACCACCTAGGATCTTAAGATCATCAGGGGAATCCCTGCTCTCGGTCCCACCACCATTACAATCGTGTTTGGTGAGGATGAGAGACAGGGCCTTCTCTGTGGAGTTCCCTCCCAAACGAGATCAGATCTTCTCCATTGCTCCTGATCTTCCGGGGAAAAAGTGAAATCCTGGCTGTGGGATCAGGCCTTTGCAGACTAGACTGACTTACTGGCAAAGTTATGGCTTTAATGGACTGCTTTTAGGATGACGACTTAATTCAGCGATTTGTTCTACTTTTTTATATTGTTTTGTTATAATATGTGTATTTATCCTTTTTCTTGTTGTGGGCACTATGCTGTGCTAGTTGTTTGCCGCCTGAGTCCCTACACAAAGGTTGTGATAGGATATAAATGCCCTAAATAAATAAACAAATTCTGAATCAGTTGCTGGAATTCTGTACACCCCTATTAAAGACGTGTTTTTTAAGCACATGGCACTCAGCTCCAACTTTTTGCTCTTGTGCTTCTTGATCCCTTCCCGACTTTTCTTTTCCTTAAAAGCTTCCTCCAGACGCTTCTCCTGTCTAAACAGTTTGTCCAGTGGGATGAATTGCTGACCAAACTGGAAGCCGCAAAGCAAGTGAAGCCTGCGCCCGAGTGAAGGCAGGGCCCTGTGTCTCCTTGCATAATATTTCCTTTTAAGAAAGCAACTTCTCTCCTCCTTTAGATCCGAGAGCATCATCTCCCGGACCCTTGAGTTGGTGCCTCAAGAATTGCTGGGATGTTTATCGGAAGCCAGACTTGTTTATCAGATGGTTGGCGATCTTAAAGTGGAGCGACACCTCTGTCTGTGTGTTCTGTTTTTCTTCTTCTGACTTAACAATTCCCCTTAAGTTATTTTTTGCTTTCCATTTATCCCACCAGTTGGCATTGCATGACCCATCATTCTAGTTGCTGTTACTATGGACCACAATAAAACTCGAATGACTCCCACAGTATGCATGCCTCTTCCTTGCACACTAAGATTCATTATTTGTCTGTAAGATTTATAGGCTACTGTTCTGAAAACTGGCGGCAGAAAGTAATTGTTGCACTCCAGACCAGGAAAAGCCCTCTGACTTTAAACACCACACAGTTGAGTAGGAAAAACAATCTCTTTATTGAAAATAATTAAAAAGCAGTAAAGTAAAAAGCACTTTGAAAAAATAGGTAAATCCAATTAGGTAGGAAGATAAGCTGGAACAAATAAAATTTTTAAAAGCATCTGATTTGATTTCAATATGGTAATTTTCCTATTACTGTCCCTCCTTCTCTGCCTCTCAGATCTGGCACCTGCACACCTGTACCACTTCACTGCAGTGTTCAGGAGCGAGATCTGAGAGACAGAGGAGGAGGTATGGTAATAGGATACAAGGGCGGGCCAGACAGGTAAAAGAGGTGTGTTTTTCTGGGCCCAGAGCCATTCTATCTCTTTTTTCCATACCCCGGGCCCCCTGGACGCCTGCAGCTTGCTCTGCCCTTCACTTACACCTTCCCGATGAGAAGCCCCTTCACCTCACCATCAGGACCGCATTAAGTCCACAAATCCCGATGAATGGATTTTCTTCTACTGTACTTGTACAATGTCGCCCTTAATGCTTTCATACAGTCACTGCAAACAGCAGGGACGCAGCCACTGCCATTTTTGAGCTCCCCCCACCATATGCAGCAACCACAGATTCTTGAATCCGGATTGGAAGTTTCAGTACCCGCTCTATAAGTCAACTCCCGGCATATAAGACGACCCCCGGCGTATAAGACGACCCCTGACTTTTGAGAAGATTTTCTTGGGTTAAAAAGTAGCCTTATATGGCAGAAAATACGGTACTTGAGTGTTCCACTCCAGGCCAGGAAACACCTCTGTACTTAACCACCACACTCCAGCCCAAGTTAAATTAGTAAAGCAGTTTATTGAAGATTATACAAAAAGCATGTCAGCAAAAATAGTCTATAAAAGTCTATATGTATAAAATAATCCACAAGGTTCAAGGCACAAGAGTAATCCATAATCCCAAAGCAACAGGTCATCCACCACAAGTACAAGGTAGCATAGAATCCAATACAAAAATCCAGGAACAATCCTTCAAACTTGGAAGCATGAAACAGGAGCAAAGACATGGAACTAGAATTCCCTCAGAAAGCTTGGCAAAACAGACATGAAATCATGCCTCCTCCCATGACTTCCTGATATGGGTCTCTTCTCTTAACAAGTGCTGTGACCTTCAGAGATTCTGCTGAGCAGCCCAAAGCTTACAAAAACCTAGTCTCCTATCAACCAGCTCATTATCTTGCAATTCATTATTCTCTCCACCTGGGATTTCAGCCTCTGAACTCGTTTCCCTAGAGAACGACTCTTCTGCATCATCTTGGAACTTCTCTGTAATGTGACCTTCACTCACTGCTGGAGACACAGACCAATCATTTTCCAGACTTAAAATCTCATGTTGGCTCACAGGCCCAGAGTTCCCATGATCGACTTCCCCATTTACATTGATATCATCCACAACCATGGGCTGTACTACAACATTGAGGGTTTAAACCACAGATATATAAACCCTTTTTCCTAGTTCCAACAGACCTCACTACCTCTGAGGATGCTTGCCATAGATGCAGGCGAAACGTCAGGAGAGAATGCCTCTAGACCATGGCCATATAGCCCGAAAAAACCTACAACAACCCAGTGATTCCGGCCATGAAAGCCTTCGACAATACATGTAAGTATACATTTGTGGTGTGACTTAGACTTTAGGGGCTTCAATAAAAACCATGGCATAGGAAAAACAGCCAAGCCTTCAAGCAGGTAATGTCTCCCTTCTATAACAAAACCAACTCATGACATCTTAAAGACTAACACATTCTCTGGCTGTTCCAGCTCACTTTAGCCGGTTCCTAGTTAGTCTTCAGATGCCACAAGACCATTTTTTTTGTCACAAATTGAATGCAGCCAGCACACACAACACCCTTCAACATCCTACAACATCATCACTGTTTACAAAATAAAATCATTTACAAAACAATTGCATCAACTTCTGTGAGTTATTCAGTGGAAGAAGAGTCCAACTTGTAAGAGGTAAGATCCAAAGCTAGTTCTAGTTTAAATACACTTTCATTGCTAGTTACAGATATAACTTCATTTTACAAATTGAATAATGGTGGTTGAGCAGAAAAGGCTGCTGTGTTCTTGAGGAAAAAAAGGTCACTGTGGTCATGGTGTGTGCGTGGGGGTAATTGCGGGGCCAGGGAAGGCCCTTAGAGGGCCAAATTTTGTCAGTGTCATTGACAGCACAGCAAGGCAGGAAGAGATCAATCACAACCACCCAGGCTACTTTATTTTACAGCTATACATTAGAAGCTACTTAACACTCAGCACATAGTAAACTTGCTTCTTTACCATCCGCTCGTAACATCGCAAACTCGTCAACTGTTATCAGTACTAGTCCACACCTCCTGCATTCCAGAGTGACGTATGATGCTGCCATTTGTTCTACACACTTGATTTATGACCTGTAGGAATGGCGTTCCCTCCATGGTTCAGTTAACTCCACACAAGAATACATTACACTTGGCACATAGCTACTGCATTTTAAACATACATGCATACTTTGAAATCTACATTATAAATTGCAAACAGCTTCAACAAATTCAACCCACAGACCTTAGTCTAGCCAGTTGAGGAAATAATATCTGAAGTTAGTCAGATGCCAAGAGTTCAAATGTTCCAGAATGCTAGAGTACGAAACAAAATATTAGTTCTAAAGACAAGCTAGACAGACAGGGGTCAAACTTTAGTTCAAGTCCATAAATCGAGCCAGGAAGTCAGTCCAGAGTTCAGATTCAAGGTTTCAGGCAATAACAAAGTCCAAAGCAAAGATGTTTTGGTGTTTTATCATCCTTGTGGGAGGCTTCTCTCATGTCCCTGCATGAGGAGTTGGAGCTGAAGCTGATAGAGGGAGCTCATCCACGCTTTCCCTGGATTCGAACCTGTGACCTGTCAGTCTTCAGTCCTGCCGGCACAGGGGTTTAACCCACTGCGCCACCTGGGGCAATAGGTTGAAATGACAGGAAATGAGATCCCACCTGAACATATGGAAGAACTTCCTGACTATAAGAAGAACTGTTCAGCAGTGGGACTCTCTGCCTTAGAGTCCAGTGGAAGCTCCTTCCTTGAAGGCCTTTAAACAGGCTGGATGGCTATCTGTCAGGGGTGCTTTGATTAGGTTTTTCCTGAAGGGCAGAAGGGGGTTGGACCAGATGGACAATGTAGTTTCTTCCATCAGCTAATCCCAATGGTACAAAACAGGAGCTTTTTTGTTGAGTTCCAGGGCCAGAGAAGCAGATGGCGGAAACAGAAAAACAGCCTGCCCCAGGGAAGCGTGCTTGCTCCATCCATGTTCAACATCTACACAAATGACCAGCCACTGCCAGAAGGGACAGAGAGCTTCATCTATGCTGATGATTGTGCCATTACTGCTCAAGCAGGGAGCTTTGAGAGGTTGAAAAGAAGCTCTCAGAAGTTCTAGGTGCTCTTGCTGCCTATTACAGGGAAAACCAGCTGATCCCTAATCCATCTAAAACACAGACATGTGCCTTTCACCTTAAGAGCAGACAAACATCCCGAGCTCTGAGGATTATTACCTGGGAAGGAATCCCACTAGAGCATTGCAGCGCACCCAAATACCTGGGAGTCACCCTGGACCGTGCTCTGACCTACAAGAAGTACTGCCTGAACGTCAAGCAAAAAGTGGATGCTAGAAACAATATCATACGAAAGCTGACTGGCACAACCTGGGGATCACAACCAGACACAGTGAAGACATCTGTCCTTGCGCTCTGCTACTCTGCTGCTGAGTACGCATGCCCAGTGTGGAACACATCTCACCACACTAAAACAGTGGATGTGGCTCTTAATGAGACATGCCGCATTATCACGATGTGTCTGCGCCCTACACCGCTGGAGAAATTAAACTGTTTAGCCGGTATTGCACCACCTGACATCCGCCGAGAAGTAGCAGCCAATAGTGAAAGGACCAAGGCAGAGACATCTCCAGCTCATCCCCTGTTTGGGCATCAGCCAGCACATCAACGACTTAAATCAAGAAATACTTTTCTAAGATCTGCAGAGACACTCGCTGGAACACCCCAGCAAGCGAGAGTCCAAAAGTGGCAGGCTCAAACCCAGAACCACAATCAATGGCTGATACCCAATGAGAGACTCCCCCCTGGGCACACAGAGGACTGGGCGACTTGGAAGGCGCTGAACAGACTGTGCTCTGGCACCATGAGATGCAGAGCCAACCTCAAGAAATGGGGCCACAAAGTGGAATTCACGACATGCAAGTGCGGAGAGGAGCAAACCACTGACCACCTGCTGCAATGCAACCTGAGCCCAGCCACATGCACGATGGAGGACCTCCTTGCGGCAACACCAGAGGCACTCCAAGGGACCAGATACTGGTCAAAGGACATTTAACCAACTACCAAGCTTGCAAAATCTGTGTCTTTTGTATGTTCGTTTGTTTGTTCTGTCAAAAATGTAATACAACTGTTCGGTTGCCTGACACGATAAATAAAATAAATAGGATGTATTTGGACATACTCTGAAACTCTCTTGATCGTGAAGATATATTACTTACCTTGTAAGGAATTTCCTTTTTAAGAAAAGGATACATTGGGATTTTTTAATTTATTTATTTTATTTTGCATATGATATGGGCGGGGGGGGGGGGGAGAGAAGTAGCTGATGGCGCTATTGCTGTTATCTAGATGGAAACAGTTCTAGTTTGGAATAGTTTACATGGATTTTCCTTTGAAAATGTCTTAAACTTGAGTGAATGGTAAAGTATGTTATACTTATTTTGTACAAGTTGCCATCTGCATACAGATCTAGACACATTTCATTATTTTCTGATTATATATGAGATTGTTTGTGTCAAATTTATATATATTTAAATGCTTTGTGCATAATGAGTACCTTCAAAACAAAAGAACCAATGAACGAAATCACACCAAATTTGGCAACAAAATGTCTCACAACTCAAGGAGTGACCATCACTCAAAAAATTATGATTTTGTCATTTGGGAGTTGTAGTTGCTGGGATTTATAGTTCACCTACAATCAAAGAGCATTCTGAACTCCACCAACAATTGAACCAAACTTGGCACACAGAACTCCCATGACCAACAGAAAAGGAAGGGTTTGGTGGGCATTGACCTTGAGTTTGGGAGTTGTAGTTCACCTACATCCAGAGAGCACTGTGGACTCAAACAATGATGGATCTGGACCAAACTTGGCACAAGCACTCACTACGCCCAAATATGAACACAGATGGAGTTTGGGGGAAGACCTTGACATTTGGGAGTTGTAGTCACTGGGATTCACAGTTCACCTACAATCAAAGAGCATTCTGAACCCCATGAACGACAGAATCGGGGCAAACTTCCCACACAGAACCCCCATGACCAACAGAAAATACTTAAGGCCATCCAATCCAACTCCCTTCAGCAGGGCAAGAAAACGTAATCGAAGCCCTCCTGACAAAGACTCATCCAGCCATAGATTAGATAGATAGATAGATAGATAGATAGATAGATAGATAGATATGATTTACACACACAGAGAGAGATAGTATCATAGATTTGAAAGCGACCCTTAAAGAAGTACAATAATATCTTGCATGTTCCAGGATGGGCAAACCAGACACTCTCCACATCCACACTGACAAAGAAACAGCAAGAAATACTATTTACCCACAAGCATCAAGACATTACATATATTAGAAACCAACACTTTCTCATTACTTTATTTTCCAGATCAACAGACTGAGCCACAGCAACGCGTGGCAGGGGACAGCTAGTAATTAATAAAAAAGAAAATAAAAAAGAGAAAGTAAATGGAGATTTTTTTTTGAACTGTTTTACATGCTTGTGTGCTTGTTTTGATTTTGTATTTATGTTTTGTGACCAACTGGAGATTTGTAGTTGTTGTTGTTCATTCGTTCAGTCGTCTCCGACTCTTCGTGACCTCATGGACCAGCCCATGCCAGAGCTCCCTGTCGGCCGTTACCACCCCCAGCTCCCTCAAGGTCAGTCCAGCCCTGTCGGCCATCCCCACCCCCAGCTCCTTCAAGGTCAAGCCAGTCACTTCAAGGATGCCATCCATCCATCTTGCCCTTGGTCGGCCCCTCTTCCTTTTGCCTTCCACTTTCCCCAGCATAATTGTCTTCTCTAGGCTTTCCTGTCTCCTCATGATGTGGCCAAAGTACTTCAACTTTGTCTCTATTATCTTTCCCTCCAGTGAGCAGTCGGGCTTTATTTCCTGGAGGATGGACTGGTTGGATCTTCTCGCAGTCCAAGGCACTCTCAGCACTTTCCTCCAACACCACAGTTCAAAAGCATCGATCTTCCTTCGCTCAGCCTTCCCGAAGGTCCAGCTCTCACATCCGTAGGTGACTACAGGGAATACCATGGCTTTGACTAGGCAATGGATCTTTGTTGTCAGTCTGATGTCTCTACTCTTCACTATTTTATCGAGACTGGACATTGCTCTCCTCCCAAGAAGTAAGCGTCTTTTTGTAGTAGATTTGTAGTAGTAGGTGGAATACAGAGGGATGGTGTTCGTATTTAGAGATCGTAAAATTCCACATGTTTGTTTGGCCCTTGCTGTTTAAAGGACTTTAGGTTTGCAGTGCCAACCCAGCTGAGTGGGAGGGTTTTCCTGCTGCGTTGAGAAAGGCTGCTTTGAGAGGTTGTTATGGTCCGCTGCCATAAAGGACATTGATATGGAGGATAAGAGGGGGGAAAGGGCCTTCCTGCTGCTTGCGTCAGAGAATGGAATGGAAAGAGGCCTCGGAAAGGGATGCTTTCGCTTTTGCACCATTGATGCTGATGCTGCTGATGCTGCTGCTGCTGCTCTGGCCTTCCTTTGGAAACCGTGGGAAAGCACCGAACTTGCGGCTCCTTCTTCGCGGTTGGTAAAACCACAAAACAAAAAACTTTAGTTGCTTTTGAGGAAAAGGAAAAGTCACAGCAGATGCAAGGATCTGGTGCAATCCATAGCCTTTGGAATTGAAGCTGCAGAGGGAGCCTCTCTTATCCAAAATGTTTGGGACTAGAAGCACCTTGGAATGGGTTTGTTTTTTCTTTCAGATTTTGGAATATAGTCATCCCTCTGCACCTTCGTGGATTGGGTTAGTTGCAGATTTGTTATTTCTAAGGATCACTAGGGTTGCATCTACACTATAAAGTTAATACAGTTCAACACCACTTTTACTGCCATGGATCAATGCGATGGAATTGCATCTCTCCCCAAACTACCAGGGTCCCATTGCATTGGGTCAAGGCAGTGAAAGTGGTGCCAAGCTGCATTCATTCTATAGTGTAGATCTGTGCTGTCGCACGCTAGGCCTGTGCATAAGACTGTAGACAGGACATAAATTCTGTGTGCCCAACGGGATGCCGGGGCTGCCTCAGATTAAAGGCCTTTGGATTTCCTTAAACAGAGTCTTTAGATTGCTTAAAGGTTCAACAAAGTTCTTTATTCATGAAAACAAACAGGTACTTTAAGGCTTTCTTCACAGTCTATTGGCTCTCTCTCAGTCTTGTCCACAGGGAACAGGCACTATCTTCATAAACTGTACATTAACTAATGGGGAAATCCTTAACTTCTAATCTGGGCAGTCTGTCTTTGCCTCTGATGGCGTGGAGCCCCTGCACCCTGTACCAAATGCTTCTGGCTTCTGCGAGTGACCCTTACCAAGCAGAGCTTTGTAGACTTCCAAGGGAAAAGGAGTTCAGGTTTCAGTGATGGCTGGCTGAAGTCCCTCAGCAAAGGAGCTGTAAGGCTGTATGATCCTCGGCCAAGCTGTGGGCTGTATATCTCCCCGGCCAAGCCATAGAAGATGAAGCTTTCTACAGGAGCGCTTGGTATTATGTCCTGCATGAAAAGCTTCTTTGTATGGACTGAACTCAAAATGGCTCCTATTCCCTCTAAAACCCAAAAAGGGGGCGGGACCAGGGAACCTAACAATAATTGACAGGTGGCTTGCCCTATGATTGCAGCCAAAAGAAGCCACCTATCTGCAGAGTCCCTGAAACTTAGGGCTATAACAAACATTAAATGCAAAGCAAACAAAATTGGAGCTCCTGGTGCAGTTGTACCTGCACAAGATCAGTGGTTCTCAACCTTCCTAATGCCGTGACCCCTTAATAACTCATGTTATGGTGACCCCCAACCATAATATTGTTTTCATTGCTACTTGATATCTGTCATTTTACTATTGTTATAAGTTGTAAATATCCAATATGCAGGATGTATTTTTCCATCCACTGGACCAAATTGACCCAATATTCCCAAATGTGAATGCTAGTGGGGTTGGGGAGGATGGAGTTTGTAATTTGGGAGTTGTAATTGCTGGGATTTATAGTTCACTCATAATCAAAGAGCATTCTGAACTCCACCAGCAATGAATTTGAACCGAACTTGGCACACAGAGCTCTTACAACCAACAGAAAACACTGGAAGGGTTTGGTGGGCATTGACCTTGAGATGGGGAGTTGTAGTTTACCTATATCCAGAGGAGCACTGTGGATTCATGCAATGATGGATCTGGACCAAACTTGGCACGAATACTCAATATGCCCAAATGTGAACACTGGTGGAGTCTGGGGAAAATAGACCTTGACATTTGGGAGTTGTAGTTGCTGGGATTTATAGTTCACAATCAAAGAGCATTCTGAACTTGACCAACAATAGAATTGGGTCAAACTTCCCACACAGAATCCACATGGCCAACAGAAAATACTGTTTTCTGATGGTCTTTGGTGACCCCTTTGACACCCCCTCATGACCCCCTCAGGGGTATCGAGCCCCAGGTTGAGAAAGACTGCTATAAAGTTAATACAGTTCAACACCGCTTTTACTGCCATGGATCAATGCGATGGAATTGCATCTCTACCCAAACTACCAGAGTCCCATCGCATTGGGTCAAGGCAGTTAAAGTGGTGAACTGCATTCATTCTTTAGTGTAGATGCACCCAAGGTAACTCCAGGTCATAGAGATTTGTTTTCTCTGGGAATAGAATAATGGAATCCTAGAGTTGGAAGAGACCTGTGGGCCATCCAGTCCAATCCCATTCTGTCAAGAAGCAGGAATATTGCCTTCAAATCACCCTCAACAGATGGCCATCCAGCCTCTGTTTCAAAGCCTCCAAAGAAGGAGCCTCCACCACACTCTGGGGCAGAGAGTTCCATTGATGAACAGCTCTCACAGTCAGGAAGTTCTTCCTCATGTTCAGATGGAATCTCTTTTCTTGTAGTTTGAAGCCATGGCTCCATTGTGTCCTAGTCTCCAGGGAAGCAGAAAACAAGCTTGCTCCCTCCTCCCTGTGGCTTCCTCTCACATATTTATACATGGCTATCATCTCTCAGCCTTCTCCAGGCTAAACATGCCCAGCTCTTTAAGCCGCTCCTCATAGGGCTTGTTCTCCAGACCCTTCATCATTTTAGTCGCCCTCCTTTGGACATATTCCAGCTTAGTGTCAATATCTTTCTTCAACTTCTCCAGGGAAGCAGAAAACAAGCTTGCTCCCTCCTCCCTGTGACTTCCTCTCACATATTTATACATCTCTAATATTGCATCTGCACTGCAGAATTAATGAAGTTTGACAGCACTTTAATTGCCCTAGCTCAATGCTATGGATATATAATTTGGTGAGGCACCAGACCTTGCAAAACTACAACTCTCATGATTCCATTGCATTGAGCCATGGCAGCTAAAGTGGTGCCAAACTGCATTGACTCTACACATTGCCGCCAACAATGTGATGTGGCGGCAAAAAAAGCCAATGGGATTTTGGCCTGCATCAATAGGAGCATAGTGTCTACATCTAGGGAAGTAATGCTACCCCTCTATTCTGTTTTGGTTAGACCACATCTGGAATATTGTGTCCAATTCTGGGCACCACAATTCAAGAGAGATATTGACAAGCTGGAATGTGTCCAGAGGAGAGCGACTAAAATGATAAAAGATCTGGAGAACAAGCCCTATGAGGAGCGGCTTAAGGAGCTGGGCATGTTTAGCCTGAAGAAGAGAAGGCTGAGAGGGGATATGATAGGCGTGTATCAATATGTGAGAGGAAGCCACAGGGAGGAGGAGGGAGCAAGCTTGTTTTCTGCCTCCCTGGAGACTAGGATGCAAGGGAACAATGGCTGCCATCCACAAGAGAGGAGATTCCACCTGAACATGAGGAAGACTTCCTGACTGTGAGAGCCGTTCAGCAGTGGAACTCTCTGCCGCGGAGTGTGGTGGAGGCTCCTTCTTTGGAAGCTTTGAAACAGAGGCTGGATGGCCATCTGTCAGGGGTGATTTGAATGCAATATTCCTGCTTCTTGGCAGAATGGGGTTGGACTGGATGGCCCAGGAGGTCTCTTCCAACTCTTTGATTCTATGATTGTATGATTCTACAGTGTAGATGCACTCCCAGTTTCACTTTGGCAGGCAGAGCTCTCTTTTTTTGTCAAAAATAAAGGTGAAAAGTTGAGTTGTCTTGTTCCGGAAGAGAGCCCTAGTAACCTTTTAAGGCTCTCTTTCTGGAAACCACAACTTCTAGGCAGAGTTCAGCTGGCCCTGCTTTCTGGCAGCATATTTCTCTGTTTGCCTCCTTTGATAAGTGCCGTAGGTTTGTACTTTGTTCCCTCTCTTGGAACTGCATTGCGAGATAAGAGCAGCTGGCCCTTTGCATGGCTTGGCTCTGCTTCCTTTGCTCCCAGAGGTGCCTTGCGCAAAGTCTGCTGCTCTTCTTTTTCAGTGAATGATATTTGAGAGGAGGGTTGTGTTGCATTGTGTGGAAGGAGAGAAAGAAAGGGCATTGGCAGCCTTCCTTTCTGCAGGATTGAAATGGAAGAACCTGAAGAATCCCTGGAAGATGCCCTCCTCTTCGCCTTGGACGACCTTCGCGGGGAAAACTTCAAGCGCTTCAAGAACAAGCTCTGCTTCTTGAAGATGGAGGGAAAGGACCGGATCCCGCAGAGCAAGCTGGAGAGCGCGGACACCGTGGACACGGTCCAGCTCCTGCTGGGGGCCTATGGGCAGGAAGGGGCCAAAGAGGTGACCGTCCACGTCCTCAAGATGATCAACATGCGGGATTCGGCCTCCAGGCTCCATATGTGGAAACAGAAAGGTAATAGATACATGTGTAGATGGTCATCTGTCAGGAGGGATTGGCTTGTGTCTTTCTGCGAGGGAAAAGGGGTTTGGGCTGGATGGCCTTTGGGGCCCCTTCGGACTTTAATTGAATATCACACCATATCCTGACCGTGAGAGCCGTTCAGCAGTGGAACTCTCTGCTCCAGAGTGTGGTGGAGGCTCCTTCTTTGGAAGCTTTTAAACAGAGGCTGGATGGCCATCTGTCAGGGGTGATTTGAATGCAATATTCCTGCTTCTTGGCAGAATGGGGTTGGACTGGATGGCCCAGGAGGTCTCTTCCAACTCTACGATTCTATGATTCATCTGTCAGGAGGGATTGACTTGTGTCTTTCTGCAAGGAAAAAAGGGGTTTGGACTAGATGGCCTTTGGGGACCCCTTCAGACTTTAATTGAATATGAACTGCATAGGAGTCTGGTGGAGTCTTTTAAGCAGAGGCTGGATGGCCATCTGTTGGGAAGGCTTTAATTAGCAGGAAGGGGTTGGCCTGGATGGCCTTTGGATGGCTCATCCAACTCTAGTGGAATTTAGACCAAGGAAGTCTTAGTCACCCACTTTTCTGCTTTGGAATAACATCCACTTCTCAACAACTTGTCCATCTCCTCCTTGGATTGCCTTGCCCAACTGGACACAAGGTTATTCCAGGTGAAGTCTGGCCAAAGCAGAAGCAAAGGGGATTAGGATTTCCCTTGATCTGGACACTATCCTCCTATGGATGCGGCCTAGAATCACATTGGGCTTTTGAACAGCCACATCACACCGTTGGCTCATGTTCTGCTTGTCGTCTAGTAAGACTCCCTTGATCCCTTTCCCATGGGTTGTTTCCATCCCATGTGTCACTCACCCTATACCTGTACATTTCATTTCTTCTACCAAAGGGTAGAAGCTTTGGGGTTGATTTACTTGTTTACCATAAACAGAAACATAGGGCTCTAAAGCTAAACAGCTGCTGTCTCAGTCTAGAGCAGTGGTTCTCAACTTGTGGGTTCCCAGATGCTTTGGACTTCAACTCCCAGAAATCCTAACAGCTGGTAAATTCCCTGGGATTTCTGGGAGTTGTAGGCCAACCTGGGGACCCACAGGTTGAGAACCACTGCTCTAGACAGTCTTACTGAGCATGCCTAAGCAGCAAAACAGAAAGAAAAGCAGCGAGCAAATTGAGCAGCCTCACGAGCTACCCAGTATGTTTGGAATACATATCTATCTATCTTTAGGTTTGATCACCTAGATGGTTAGAGCAGGGGTGGGTAGAGCATAATGAGTAGTTCATGAATGACTCGACCATGGGATGAATAGAGCATAGGATGGGTAGAGCATAGAATGGGGAGATGAAATGATGAGTAGAGCATAGGATGGTTAAAGCATAGGATGGTTAGAGCATAGGATGAGTAGTGCATGAATGAATAGACCATGAGATTAATAGAGCATAAGATGGGTAGAGATTAGGATGGGTAGAGCATAGGATGGGTAGATGGCATTATGAGTAGAGCATAGGATGGTTAAAGCATAGATGGGTAGATGAAATGATGAGTAGACCATAGGATGGGTAGAGAATAGTACGAGTAGTTCATGAATGAATAGACTATGGAATGAATCGACCATAGGATGGGTAAAGCATAAGATGAGTACTTCATGAATGAATGGACCATGGAATGAATAGACCATAGGATGGGTAGAGAATAGGACGAGTAGTTCATGAATGAATAGACCATGGAATGAATAGACCATAGGATGGGTAGAGAATAGGATGGGTAGATGACATTATGAGTACAGCACAGGATGGTGAAAGCATAGATTGTGTAGATGAAATGATGAGTAGACCATAGGATGGGTAGAGAATAGTACGAGTAGTTCATGAATGAATAGACCATGGAATAGACCATAGAATGAATAGACCATAGAATGAGTAAATCATAGGATGGGTAGATGAAATTATGATGAATTATGAGTAGAGCATAGGATGTGAACTGTGGTGCTGGAGGAAAGTTCTGAGAGTGCCTTGGACTACGAGAAGATCCAACCAGTCCATACTTCAGGAAATGAAGCCTGACTGCTCATTGGAGGGAAGGATAGTAGAGGCCAAGGTGAAGTGCTTTGGCCACATCATGAGAAGAAAGGAAAGCTTGGAGAAGGGAATGTTGCTGGGGAAAATGGAAGGAAAAAGGAAGAGGGGCCAACCAAGGGCAAGATGGAGGGGTGGCATCCTTGAAGTGACTGGATTGACCTTGAAGGAGCTGGGGGTGGTGACGGCCGACAGGGAGCTCTGGCGTGGGATGGTCCATGAGGTCACGAAGAGTCGGAAATGACTGAACAAACAACAACATAGGATGGGTAGAGCATAGGTTGAGTCATTCATGAATGAATAGACCATGGGATGAATAGATGAAATAGGATGAGTACTTCATGAATGAATAGAGCATAGGATGGGTAGAGCATAGGATGAGTCGTTCATGAATGAACAGACCATGGGATGAACAGACCATGGGATGAATAGAGCATAGGATGAGTAGTTCGTGAATGAATAGAGCATAGGATGGGTAGCGCATCGAATGGGTAGATGAAATGTTGAGTAGAGCATAGGATGGTTAAACATAGGATGGTTAGAGCATAGGATGAGTAGTGCATGAATGAATAGACTATGGGATGAATAGAGCATAGTATGGATAGAGCATAGGATGAGTAGAGGAAATGATGAATACAGCATAGGATGGGTAGAGCATAGGGTGGGTAGAGGAAATGATGAGTAGAGCATAGAATGGTCAAAGCATAGGATGGTTAAAGTATAGGATGGTTAGAGCATCGGAAGAGTATGCATAGGTTGAGTAGAGCATAGGAAGCACAGAGGATGAGATACTAGAGCAGGGGTGGGTAGAGCATAGGATGAATAGAGTATGAGTTCATAGGATGAGCAGAACTGAAATGACAAGAAGAGTGGAAGCTGGTGGAATAAAAGTCGATTCCTTTGTGCCTTTTTGGGAAAAGTTGTATTTTTACAAAGTCTCCAGCCTTCTCTACCAAAAAGGGGTTGGTGCTTCACCAAACTACAACTCCCATGTTTCCATAGCATTGAGCCATGGCAGTTCAAGGGATGTCGAACTGCATTAACTCTATGGTGTGGACACACCCAGAGTGGAGACAGAGATGGTCCTTCTGGGATACTCAGGATGTTGCATCTCTGTCTCTTTCAGAGCAAGAGGAGGAGAGATGCCCTGCGCACACATCCTGACTCTGGCTTGGGCTTCCAGGGCCTCAGAGCTACACTTCGGTCTTCCTTACTTGAGGCTCCAATCCACCTTGGCATCCCTTGTGGATCACTCAGCTTTGGACTCCTCTGCCTTTCCTGCCAGATGTATTGCCAGAAGCGTCTTGAAGAAGACACCCATGGAAAACTATAGACCAGGCATGGGCAAACTTGGGCCCTCCAGGTGTTTTGGACTTCAACACCCACAAATCCTAACAGCCGGTAGGCTGTTAGGATTTGTGGGAGTTGAAGTCCAAAACACCTGGAGGGCCCAAGTTTGCCCATGCCTACATTACAGCATACTCACCTCCAGAAGTGATCCAGTCCAACTCCCCCCTGCAAGGAAGAATGACACTTTCAATCACTCCTGACAGATAGTTCTCCTGTTTTTAGCTACCTATTGAATTATAATTCTATGTTGCAACACCTCTTGAGCCTTGGGGGAGGTGGTAAGGAATAAAATTGGTTGTTATAAATATAATCATTATTAAAAGGTATCCTTCCCTAGCTCTAGGGGGATGGTATTATTCATGGCTTGGGGAGAACCATGAGATGGGTAGAGGATAAAATGAGTAGAGCATGGATAAGTAGATCATAGGATGAGTAGAGCATAGGATGGGGAGACCATAGGACAAGGAGAACATGGGATGGGCCCATCCTATGTTCTCCTTGTCCTATGCTCTCCCTATCTTATAGGGTGAGTGGAGCATAGGATGAGAGTGGATAAGATGGCTAGAGCAGGGGTGGGTAGAGTATAGGATGAGTAGAGCCTAGGATGAGTAGTGCATGGATGAATAGAACATAGGATGAGTAGACCATAGGATGTTTAGAGCATAGGATGAGCAGTACTTGGATGAATAGACCATAGGATGAATACAGCATAGAATGAGTAGAAGATAAGATGGCTAGAGCAGGGATGGGTAGAGCATAGGATGAGTAGAGCATAGGATGAGTAGTGCATAGATGAGTAGATCATAGAATGGGTAGAACATAGGATAAGTAGAGGATATGATGGCTAGAGCAGGGGTGGGTAGAACATGGGATGAATAGAGCATAGAAGGAGTAGACCACAGGATGGATAGAACATAGGACATGGGATGGGCAAGATAAAGGGTGAGTTGAGCATGGGATGAGTAGTGCCTAGGATGAGTAGTGGATAAGATGGCTAGAGCAAGGGTGGATACAGCATAGGGTGAATAAGACCATAGGATGGGTAGAGCATAAGATCAGTAGAAGATAGGATGGCTAGAGCAGGAGTGGGTAGAACATGGGATAAGTAGAGCATAGGATGAGTAGACCATAGGATATGTAGAACATAAGATGATTAGAGGATAAGATGGCTAGAGCAGGGGTGCGTAGAGTATAGGATGAGTAGAGCCTAGGATGAGTACTGTATGGATGAATAGAACACAGGATGAGTAGACCATAGGATCGTTAGAGCACAGGATGAGCAGTACATGGATGAATAGACCATAGGATGAGTGCAACATAGAATGAGTAGAAGATAAGATGGGTAGAGCATAGGATGAGTAGAGCATAGGGTGAGTAGTGCATAGATGTGTAGATCATAGAATGGGTAGAACATCGGATAAGTAGAGGATAGGATGGCTAGAGCAGGGATGGGTAGAATATGGGATGAATAGAGCATAGAAGGAGTAGACCAGAGGATGCATAGAACATAGGACAAGTAGAACATGGGATGGGCAAGATAAAGCATGAGTTGAGCATAGGATGAGTAGAACATAGGATGAGTAGTGCATGGATGAGTAGATCATAGGATGGGTAGATTATAGCATAAGTAGAGGGTAGGATGGCTAGAGCAGGGCTGGATAGAACAAGGGATGAATAGAGCATAGGAAGAGTAGACCAAAGGATGGATAGAACATAGGGCATGGGATGGGCAAGATAAAGGGTGAGTTGAGCATAGTAGTGCCTAGGATGAGTAGTGGATAAGATGGCTAGAGTAAGGGTGGATACAGCACAGGATGAATAAGACCATAGGATGGGTAGAGCATAGGATGAGTAGAGGATAGGATGGCTAGAGCAGGGGTCGGTAGAACATGGGATGAGTAGAACATAAGATGAGTACACCATAGGATATGTAGAACATAGGATGATTTGAGGATAAGATGGCTAGAGCATGGGTGGTTAGAACATGGGATGAGTAGAGCAAAGGATGAGTAGAACATAAGATGAGTAGATCACAGAATGGGTAGATTGTAGGATGGGTAGAGCACAGGATGTGTAGAGATAAGATGAGAAGAGAATGCTACAGAAGGGTTGGATAGAAGATCAGGTGGTCATTCTTTGAGTTGTGGCCCTCCTGATTGTGATTTTATGCGATTCCATTAGAATGCAAGAAGAAATATCAGAGGCACATCCAAGATACCTTCTGTCACATCCCTGAATTGAACCCTCGTTCTGGTCAGAAAGTGAGCCACCACCAAAGATACACTGGGCTCTTTCTCAGGGCCAGGAAACCAGATCCTGAGGAAAGAGCCCATGGACTCCTGGCCATGGAAAGGAAACATCAGGAGATGGAGGCTCACCCAGAGAGATGTCCAAGTCTTGGCCTGGAGGAACTGTTTGGCCCAGATGCTGAGGGGAGAAGCTCCAGAACCGCTGTGTTGTTTGGGCTGGCTGGAATAGGGAAAACTATGACTCTACAGAAGTTGATGTTGGACTGGGCATCTGGTGAGTCTTGGCCAGCCAAGTTTGCCTATGCCTTTTATGTCTCCTGCGGAGCACTGAATGCTAGTAGGGAAACTATGAGTCTGGTTGACCTGATAGTCAACAGCTGTCCTCCAGGGACTCTTGCAGTGGAGGACATCTTGATGCACCAAGACAACCTGCTCATTATCCTCGATGCTTTTGATGAACTTAATCCTAGCCATCTTCCAAGTGAAAGTCCAAGCAACGACGTGCAGAAGAAGCAGCCTGTAGCTGACCTAGTGTCTGGATTGCTTCGAAGAAAGCTCCTTGCCAAATGCCACCTCCTGGTAGCCACAAGGCCTAAGGCCATTGGGTCCCTCCTACAATATCTGAGATCATCAAGGTGGGTGGAAGTGTTGGGATTCCACTCAGCTCAGAGGGAGGAGTATTTCCAACGTTTCTTTGAGGATAGAGAAGATGGTGCTCGAGCCTTTGAGCTTGCAAGGAGCAATGAGACTCTTTCCCGCATGTGCTTCCTCCCTGCTTCATGTTTAGTGATCTGCTCCATCTTCAGTCAGACAACCCAAAGGGAACCCCTCAAAGATATCCCAGAGAAGGCAACGGTCACAGACATTTATGTGTGGCTCCTCTTGAAGTTCCTGGGCTGCCATTCTACTTCGGTCAACGTTGAAGGCCTATGCTGCTTAGCCAAAGAGCGACTGCTCCACAAAGCTGAGGTCTTTGATGAAGAAGTGATCAAAGATCATGGTTTGGGCAACCCTTCAGCACACTCGGGTATTCTCCTCCAAGACAGCCATGTAACAATGACATACACGTTCACCCACTTAGGTTTCCAGGAATTGTTGGCCGCCTTGTCCTTTTGTCTCCTTGACTCAAATGGGAACACGATATCATCCTTCCAAGAACTGGAGGAAGTATCTGGACACCGGACTGAATCCAACTTCACTCTGCTTCTGCGCTTCCTTTTTGGCCTCTGCGGAGAGAGGGGGCTGGATATCTTTCAAGAGAGTTGGGGCTGCAGGACATCCAGGAAAGGACTTTGGCAAGAATTAGGGATATGGTTGGAGAAGGAAGTTAAGTCTCAGTCCTTTCAGAGCAAAGAGAAGCTGCTAGAACTGTGCCATTGCATGTATGAGACCAAGGACCTCCCGTTTGCCAAGAACATCATGGGACACTTTCATGATCTGGACTTCAGGGACCTGCTCTCCACCAACCTAGACCTTGCAGCTGTTGCCTTCTGCTTGTCGGCTTCTGACTCCCTCCAGTCACTTCATCTCTCTGACTGTGAGCTGGGGCCCGAAAGACTGGGGCAACTCCTGCCAGGGCTGCGGAAGCCTTCAGAGATCCGGTAAGTGCATCAGAAAGGATCTCCATGGCATCACATGTCTTTTGAGGTCTCCTTGGGTCCAAAATGAGTACCTAGAATCATAGAATCAAAGAGTTGGAAGAGACCTCCTGGGCCATCCAGTCCAACCCCATTCTGCCAAGAAGCAGGAATATTGCATTCAAATCACCCCTGACAGATGGCCATCCAGCCTCTGTTTAAAAGCTTCCAAAGACGGAGCCTCCACCACACTCCGGGGCAGAGAGTTCCACTGCTGAACGGCTCTCACAGTCAGGAAGTTCTTCCTCATGTTCAGATGGAATCTCCTCTCTTGTAGTTTGAAGCCATTGTTCTGAGTCCTAATCTCCATGGAAGCAGAAAACAAGCTTGCTCCCTCCTCCCTGTGGCTTCCTCTCACATATTTATACATGGCTATCATATCTCCTCTCAGGCTTCTCTTCTTCAGGCTAAACATGCCCAGCTCCTTAAGCCGCTCCTCATAGGGCTTGTTCTCCAGACCCTTGATCATTTTAGTCGCCCTCCTCTGGACACATTCCAGCTTGTCAATATCTCTCTTGAATTGTGGTGCCCAGAATTGGACACAATATTCCAGGTAAAGTAGTCTAACCAAAGCAGAATAGAGGGGTAGCATTACTTCCCTAGATCTAGACACTAGGCTCCTATTGATGCAGGCCAAAATCCCATTGGCTTTTTTTGCTGCCACATCACATTGTTGGCTCATGTTTCACTTGTTGTCCACGAGGACTCCAAGATCTTTTTCACACGTCCTGCTCTCGAGCCAGGCATTGTCTCCCATTCTGTATCTTTGCATTTTGTTTTTTCTGCCAAAGTGGAGTATCCTGCATTTGTCCCTGTTGAACTTCATTTTGTTAGTTTTGGCCATTCATCTCTCTAATCTGTCAAGATCGTTTTGAATTCTGCTCCTGTCCTCTGGAGTATTGGCTATCCCTCCCAATTTGGTGTCGTCTGCAAACTTGATGATCCTGCCTTCTAGCCCTTCATCTAAGTCATTAATAAACATCCTGAACAGGACCGGGCCCAGGACACTGATGGCCCTCCGCTCGTCACTTCTTTCCAGGATGAAGAGGAAGCCTTGGGGAGAACCACCCTCTGAGTTCATCCATTTAACCAATCACAGATCCACCTCACCGTAGTTTTGCCTCGCCCACATTGGACTAGTTTCCTTGCCAGAAGGTCATGGGGGACCTTGTCTAAGGAAGGCCTTCCTGAAATCCAGATACGCTCCATCCACAGCATTCCCCGCATCTACCCAGCTTGTAACTCTATCGAAAAAAGAGATCAGATGAGTCTGGCATGACTTGTTTTTGATAAATCCACCAAACCCAAAGGGTGCTTCCCTCCAATGGGTTCCTCTTCATCCTGAAAAAAAGTGCCATAAAGAGGGTTCTCTCCTGGGCCCAGTACTGTTTGGTATCTTTATAAATGACTTATTTGAAGGTTTAGAGGGCAGGCTGATCAAGTTTGCAGGTGACACCAAATTGGGAGGGAGACCTTCCCAATTTGTCAGACCTCTTCACCTGGAACCACATCGTGTCCAATTCTGGGCTCCACAGTTCAAAAGAGAGATTGACTCTAAGCTGGAAGGAGTCCAGAAGAAGAAGGCAACTAAAAGGATCCAAGGTGTAGAGACCAGGAATCTCTATGAGGGTGAGCAGCTTTGCTTATCTTGCAGAAGAGAAGGCTGAGAGGAGACATGAGAGCCAGGTATAGATAGGTGAAAGGAAGCCATTAGGAAGAGGGAGCAGGCTTGTTTCCTGCTGCTCTGAAGATTAGAACTCAATGGAGCCATGAGTTCAAATGACAGGAAAGGAGGTTCTACCTGAACATGAGGAAGAACTTCCTGACTGTAAGGAGAGCTATCCAACAGTGGGATTATCTGCCTTGGAGTTCCTTGGAAGCTTCTTCCTTGGAAGCTTTTAAACAGAGGCTAGATGGCCATCTGTCAGGGGTTTTTTGATTGTGCCTTTCCTGCACAGCAGAATGGAGATGGACTAGATGACCCATGTGGTCTCTTCCAACTCTATTATTCTATGATTCTATATGCTGTCCCAGTGTTAGACCAGATAGGGCCTGGGTTGGCTTCTAAATGTGTTTTCCCACTAACTTCCTTGCCTCTTTTTCCTCAGGCTAAACCGTTGTGGGCTTACGGTTTCCACCTGCAAAGATCTTTCTTCAGTTGTGGCAGCCAACGTGAGGCTGACCAGTCTGGACCTGTCTGAAAATCCATTGGGCGACTTGTGTGTGACCCAGCTGTGCCAAGGGCTGCTCAGTTCACACTGTCAACTGCAGAGTCTCCAGTAAGTAACCCACTCCTTCCAGATCCAGATTGGGACCAGATTCCGAAAAGGGAGATGGTTGGTCTTAGGATGTATCTGCACTGTAGAATTCTGAGACGATCCAAAAAGATGTCTGACCAAAACAAGATAGACTTACACTATTATTCCTTCCCTTGAAAGGACATGATGGCCTTGTTTCAATATTTGAAATAATGTCCCATTGTTTTCTTCTGCTCTAGAGATAAGGACACATTGGATTCAAATTGCAGGAAAAGAGGTTCCACCTAAACATTATAGAATTATAGAATCCTAGAGTTGGAAGAGACCTGGTGGGCCATCCAGTCCAACCCCATTCTGCGAAGAAGCAGGAAAATCGCATTCAAACACTCCCAACAGATGGCCATCCAGCCTCTGTTTAAAAGCCTCCATAGAAGGAGCCTCCACTACACTCCAGGGCAGTGAGTTCCACTGTTGAATAGCTCTCACAGTCAGAAAGTTCTTCCTAATGTTCAGGTGGAATCTCCTTTCCTGTAGTTTGAAGCCATTGCTCCATTGCATCCTAGTCTCCAGGGCAGTAGAAAACAAGCTTGCTCCCTCTTTCTTAGGACTTCCTGTCACATATTTATCCATGGCCCTCATCCTGTCTCCTCTCAGCCTTCTCTTCTGCAGGCTAAACATGCCCAGCTCTTTAAGGCTCTCCTCATAGGGTTTGTTCTCCAGACTCATTTTCGTCACCCTCCTCTGGACACATTATGAAGAATGTCCTGAAAGTTAGAGCATACAAGAGGAATCACTGCTTCCTGGAAGTCTGGCAAAGCCTCCTCTGGAGATTTATTTATTTCGCATATTTCTACCCCGCCCTTCTCAACCCTACACAATACCGAGGGGGGACTCAGGGCGGCTTACAAAAGGCACAATTCAATGCCTACACAATAATACAGATTAACATATATAAACAGCAATTAAAACAATTATAACAGTTTAAAACAATCCATTATACTCACAATCAATAAAAACCAATAAAAAAGCAATCTCATGCTCAACGTTCGCCAACTCAGAGTCCATAAATTCATTCCACATTGTCCATTCCCATTTATTTATTTGCCAGATTACCCAAACGCCTGGTCCCAAATCCACGTTTTTAGTTTCCTTCTAAAGAAAAGGAGGGATGTCGATGACCTAATTTCCCCAGGGAGTGAATTCCACAGGTGAGGGGCCACCACCGAGAAGGCCCTGCTCCTCGTCCCCACCAGTCTCACTTGTGATAGAGGCGAGGCCGAGAGCAGGGCCTCCCCAGAAGAACTCCGAGGCGGGACGTAGAGGGAGATGCGTTCGGATGCAATCTTGAAAGAGAGGCTGGATGGGCATCTGTCAGGAGGGCTTAGATGGTGCCATACATTCAAAGCATCCTAGAGATGCAAGAGAACCCAAGGGCCATTCAGTCCAACCCTTTTCTACCAGGTAGGAAGATACAGTCCAAGCCCTCTCATGGATGGCTGTCCAACCTCTGGTTAACAACTTCTGGAGAAGAAGGCTCCACTCAACTTCCAAGCAGAATGGCAGTAGGGAGTTGGGCTCAATGGCCTTTGGGGGTCCCTTCCGTCTTTAGGATCCCACAGAATACACTCATATTTTATTTATTTATTTATTTATTTAAAAGTTTTGTATACCGGCTTTCTCACCTCTCCTGAGGGACTCAGACCGGTTTCCAACCATAATATCACATACAATCAATAAAACATCATAATACATATTACAGTAAAACATTAAAACAGCAATTAGAATCAATAACTATAATGGTCAGTCGTCACATTAAAATCGTTGCTCATCATCCTCCATCCCTATCTCAGGGTGTTGGCTCACTCGTCGAATGCCTGTCTCCATAACCAAGTCTTCACCTGTTTCCTAAATGTCAGGATAGACGGGGCGGTTCTGATCTCCAGTGGGAGAGAGTTCCAGAGTCGAGGGACCACCACTGAGAAGGCCCTGTCCCTCGTCCCCACCAGACGCGCTTGTGCGGCCGGTGGGACCGAGAGCAGGGCCCCTCCAGATGATCTTAACAACCTAGATGGTACATAGGGGAGAATACGTTCAGAGAGGTAAACAGGGCAGGAGTCGTTTAGGGCTTTATAGGTTAACACCAGCACTTTGAATTGTGCTCGGAAGCTAATTGGCAGCCAGTGGAACTGGTGTAACAGCGGAGTGGTGTGCTCCCTGTACCCAGCACCCGTTAGTAGTCTGGCTGCCGAGCGTTGGACTAGCTGCAGCTTCCGGGCAGTCTTCAGAGGCAACCCCACATAGAGAGCGTTGCAGTAGTCTAAACAGGATGTAACCAAAGCGTGGACCACCGTGGCCAAGTCAGACTTCCCAAGGTACGGGCGCAGCTGGCGCACAAGTTTCCCACAAGTCTGTGTCCTTGTGTTGAGATAGAGCCATAGCATTATAGAATAACAGAATTGGAAGAGATCATCGATCCCAACCCCCTGCCAGGCAGGAAAAACACAATCAAAACACCCCTGACAGATGGCCATCCAGCCTTTGTTTAGAAGTCTCCAAGGAAAGAGCTACCACCAGACACCTTCATCCAAGTCATTAATAAAAATGTTGAACAGAACTGGGCCCAGGACCAGACAGGTAATTTAACCTGCCCTGAAATGATTGTGTCTCTTTATACATGGAGAACAAACTCTATATGGTCTTATATTGGTAAGGCTAGGCCTGTTTGATCAAGAAAAAATTTGTTTCTAAAATCGATTTGTAATTGGGGTGTTTTTTTGTTTCGATATTTAAAATAATTACAAAACTTTCCAAAAAAAGTTTTGGTATTTAAGAAATTTTGTAAATATTAACGAATTTTTAGAATATTTTTGGTATTTCTTAAGAATAATATTAAAATAATATTAAAAAATATTTTAAAATGGAAAATTAACCAAAAAATGGCCCAAATGTGGACCAAACACAGGCAGGATACAGCAAATGAGAGCACACACCAACAGAAGAGTCTTTTCTTTTTTAGAATATTTTTTAAAATAATATTAAAATAATATTAAAAAATAATATTAAAATAATATTAAAAAATATTTTAAAATGGAAAATTAACCAAAAAATGGCCCAAATGTGGACCAAACACAGGCAGGATACAGCAAATGAGAGCACACACCAACAGAAGAGTCTTTTCTTTTTTAGAATATTTTTTAAAAATAATAGTAAAAAATAATATTAAAAAATAATATTAAAAAATAATATTAAAAATAATATAAAAATAATATTAAAAATATTTTAAAATGGAAAATTAACCAAAAAATGGCCCAAATGTGGACCAAACACAGGCAAGAGACAGCAAATGAAGCAAGCAGCACTCACAGCAGCAAGGAATTAATCCAATCCGAGTTGCTAGCAGCCATTGCCAAGCCAACCCAATGCAAACTCCCTCGCCCTCTTGAAGCTACGGGCCGCGCGGAGCCGCTTTGAAAGGGCTCGCCGGCCAATCAAAAACAGGCAGCCACGGACCCATGGTGGTGCACTGTTTGGGAGCGCCGGATTGGCTCCCATGCACCAGCACTCCAGCAGCCTCCACCCCATTAACGAAACGAGCGGAGGCTCGTTAAAACTATGGGGGTTGCTGGTTCGATATTTAAAAACCCTTCCGGGTTTGGAAATATGTTTCAATATCGCTTCGGAAATGGTAAAATTAACGAATTAATAACGAATTAACGAATTAACGAACGAAACCGCACAGGCCTACTAAAAAGGGTTGGACTAGATGCCCTTTGGGTGTCCCCTCCAACTTTATGATCCTATGGTTCTTTTCCTGAAATATCAAGTCTGAGAGAAAAGTCCCTGCAAAAACAAAGTGCATGTTTGCTGAGAGCATGTTTCCTCTCCTCTCCTTGCAGGCTTCATGGCTGCCACCTGACAGCTGTTGCCTGTGAGCCCCTTTCTGCACTTCTGGCATCCAAGCCATGCCTCATTGAGCTCGATCTTGGAGGAAACCCCTTGGGAGACCCGGGAGTCCATATATTGTGCAAAGGGATGAAGAACCCACTGTGCGGACTGCAAAGGCTCAAGTAAGTGAGAGGCACTTGTTGGAAGAGGCAGCCACCGGAAGAAGGGTGTACTTTGCAATGCCTCTTGCATTCCCAGCACATAGGTTGGGTTTTGCTCCTTTTCCAGAAATTTCACCTTTGGAATCTAAGTATCTTTTTAAGCATGGGCATGGTTTTACCTTGACCACTCTTTTGACTTATCTGAATTTTTTAAATGCATTATTATTATTATTATTATTATTATTATTATTATTATTATTATTAGCCCTCCCCTGCCAGGCATTGCTGTGGCCCAGTCTGATGATTTGGAAAATAAAGTCATGAAAAAGTGTTGGTTTCTAATGTATGTAATTTCTTTCTGCTTTTCGGTAAACAGTATTTCTTCTTCAATGTATTGTCGATGGCTGGAATCACTGGGTTGTTGTAGGTTATTTCAGGCTATATGGCCATGTTCTAGAGGCATTCTGTCCTGACGTTTCGCCTGCATCTATGGCAAGCATCCTCAGAGGTAGTGAGGTCTGTTGGAACTAGGAAAAATTGGGTTTATATATCTGTGGAATGACCAGGGTGGGACAAAGAACTCTTGTCTGCTGGAGGTAGATGTGAATGTTTCAACTGACCACCTTGATTAGCATTTGATGGCCTGGTAGTTTTTTGGTGTGGCTTGCTAGTGCCTGGGGGAATCTTTCATTGAGAGGTGATGAGATGTCCTTGTTTGTTTCCTCTCTGTTGTTTTGCTGTTGTAATTTTAGAGTTTTTGTAATACTGGTAGCCAGATTTTGTTCATTTTCATGGTTTCCTCCTTTCTGTGTAAATTATTCCCAGGATTTCAAAATCCTCGGTTAAGGCAGTTAAAGGAGTGTCAAATTGCATTAATTCTACAGGATAGATGCCCCCTATAAACAACTTAAATAATTAAAATAAATAATACAGATTTGACTTCTACATGAAGCCAAAATCAGCTGACCACTAAAGGAGTAGAGTGGATTCGTTGCCAGACAAGGAAATGCAGACCGGGTTTCAAGGCAACAAACAGAGGTTAATACCTTTCAGGCCTGAAAGGATGTCTGATACAGAGTGTCCACACAAAAGGAATCGTGCATAAACCAGAAAACATCTAGCTTCTATTATCTATGACACCTGGGGTAAATTGTATGCTACTCTGGCCATGTGCTCTTTGTTGAAGCTGTTTGCAATTTATAATGTAGATTTCAAAGTATGCATGTATGCTTAAAATGCAGTACTATGTGCCGAGTGTAATGGATTCCTGTATGGAAAGAGTTAACTGAACCATGAAGGGAACTGTATTCTTAGAGAGGTCATAAATCAAGTGTGTAGAACAAATGGACAGTGTCGTATGTCACTCTGAAATGCAGGAGGTGTGGACTAGTACTGATAACTGTTGTTTGCAATGTTACATTCGGACTGAAAAAAAGCAAGTTTATGATGTGCTGAGTGTTAAGTAGCTTCTAATGTATATAGTTGTAAAATAAAGTTGTTTATAACCTAGGTCAGGGGTCCTCAAACTTTTTGAACGGGGGGCCAGTTCACTGTCCCTCAGACTGTTGGAGGGCCGGACTATAGTTTACACGGGAATATTGTGAAACATTTGTTTTATATATTGTGAAACATTTATTTCTAATTACAAATAAATGAAAATTTGACTTCAAGCATGTCGTAGCATGGGTAACAGGTTTACTATAACAGCAGGAACCCATGAATATGTTTACTGATCAGCCTATTGGCCAAACTTTTTGGCCAATAGTTTGTGGCAACCACACAGTTTCTGGATGAGAACTACTACTTTCAAAGTAAGGGCCGCACAATTAAACGGAAAATAACACTTTCAAACCAGGAACAAATTTCTGTTCTACAATTTAATATTACGTTTATTTATACACCACTTTTTGTCTCCACAAGGAGACTGTGGGCCCTTCCAGATGCCCTATATCCCAGGATCTGATCCCAGGTTTTCTGCTTTAAACTGGATTATATGAGTCTGCACTGCCAGATAATCTGGGATAAACAGAAAACCTAGGATCAGATCCTGGGATATAGGACCTGTCTGAAAGGGCCCTTCCAAACAGCCATATAACCCAGAATATCAAGGGAGAGACATAATAATAATAATAATAATAATAATAATAATAATAATGATGATAATAAACAAATGATTGTTATTATTAAACTCAGTTGGAAGGGACCCCCAAAGGTCATCTAGTCCAGCCCCTTCCTTCTGCCAGGCAGGAAGATAGAATTACTGCAGGAGCAATAACAACAACAACAACAGTCTCCTGAAGTAAACTGAAGGGCATTGGACTTGAGTTTTGGAGTTGTGGTTTACCTACATCCAGAGAGCACTGTGAACTCAAACAATGATGGGTCTTTACCAAATTTGGCACAAAATCCTGATATGCTGCAAATGGAATACTGGCCTTTGTGTGGCCCCTTGGCCCTCCTGCTGCTGCTGCTACGGGTGGCTGGATCCTGCCTTCTCGCTCCCTCCATTCGGACCCGGCACTCACAGCGTCCGCGCCTCCGCCTCCCTCTTCCTTCCCAGCCCCCGAGCGGGAGAGGAGCAGCAGCCAGGCTGCTATTGGTTCAGCCGCCCCTGCCAGGGGCCGGATAAATGCCCCCGGCGGGCCGGATCCGGCCCCCGGGCCGTACTTTGGGGACCCCTGGCCTAGGTGGTTGTGATTGATCTGTTCCTGCCTTGCTGTGCTGCCGATGTCACTGACACTCTTGTCTTTTTGCTTTGCAGGTTGCACCAATGCAGCCTTACGGGCACCGCCTGCACAGATCTGGCCTCCGTTTTGGAAACTAGTCTGAGTTTGACAGAGCTTAACCTGGGGGACAACAGCCTCGGGGATGATGGTGTCCGGCAGCTGTGCCTTGCACTGAAAAAGTCCCACTGCAAACTCCGGAGTCTGGCGTAAGTCTGGCTGTTATCTTTACGATTTTATTTTCACCAGTTCAGTGCTGCTCACAATCTTGCAATCAATTTTCCTGAAAGAAAGGCTTTGGCAGAGGAGCAAGGGTCAAGATACACAGCAATTTGATTTCCCTTTAGCCTCCATTGAATCCTGGGAATCCTGTGAGTTGTAGTTTGGGAAGGCATCAGCATTCTTTGGCACTCTCGGGAATCATTGAATCGCAGAATCTTAGATCTGGAAGACATCCCAGGGGACCATCCTGTCCAACCCCACTCTGCCAGGCAGGAAGACACAATTAAACCACTCCTGACAGATGGACATCCTGCCTCTGCTTAAATCGTCCATAGCAGTGGTTCTCAACCTGGGGTCGCCAGATGTTTTTGGCCTTCAACTCCCAGAAATCCTAACAGCTGGTAAACTGGCTGGGATTTCTGGGAGTTGTAGGCCAAAAACATCTGGGGACCCCAGGTTGAGAACCACTGCTCCATAGCTTTAAGCCCCGGCAGTTAAAATGATATCAAACTTGTCACGGGGGTAGAAGGGAGAAGTAAAACATACACAACACCCCTGTTAGGTAGGCACGTGAATTCCTCCACTCACTGCATTCTTCAGCTGCTCGGTGGAATGGATTATCTCAAAGGTAAGCAGTTAGTTCCAATCCAAAACACTGCAGAGTCCTGATCACAGTTAGCAGAGATTTTGTAGCACAGCCTCTGACCTTGTTTAGTATCTCACCACTTCAATAAGCACACCTGAGCTCTGGCTTTCATCCAGACTCCTTTGGAAGTTGATTCTTTAGTCGTTGCTACATGCAACTACTTCCAGGTCTGTTATCAGTGTACAGAGATACTCACAAAGCTAGCAAGAGACTCACGGAACGAGAATGGTGATGGATTACAGACACAGAGATCATGACAAGCTATCAAAGAGGAAGCACATGGCAAAGAGGAAGTTCACATAAAAGCCAACCCCCATTTCTCCCTCCAGGGAGGAAATAACTAAGTTGTCTCTCTAGGACTACATCTCTATTGGTCTTCACCCTTCAGTAGACAGTGAACACATGTTCATTAGAACTGTATTTTTCCACACATTGGAGGTACATGCCATGCATTTCTATCTAATACAGCATTTTCCTACCTGACAAAACTGCATTCCTTCTACTTTGTAGATGCACCCCATGACTCTCAATAGCATCGGGCAATGCTGTGAAAAGTTACTTTTTGGACTACTGCTCCCCCATTGTTTAGATTGTTTAGAAGTTCTTCCTAATTTTCATCTGGAATCTCCTTTTGGACCCTTGCATTCTTTTCTATCTCTTTCCTTCTTAGACTGAGCATGGGATCCCTGAACCGGATCACAAGGACGAGGCTCCAGGCAGCTATTTCGGCGCGTCCTGAAATGACAGTGGTTTCCTACTATTCGCCCTCCTACCTGGCCTTCCCAGGTGACGAAGGATCATGGGGCATGTTTCCACGTTCCCAACACTCCGGCCAATTTTGACACTGAAGCTGGTAAAGGAGGGAACGATTGCAAGGCGCACTTCAAGGAGATTGATTTGGCACATCACAATGGTTCCCTTAAAAGACCGTAAGGGTTAGGTCTACTTTCAGGACTGTTTCCAGAGGAGGGAGACTCAAAGGACCAAGGGTCTGGAGAACAAGCCCTATAAGGCGAAACGTCAGGAGAAAATGCCTCTAGAACATGGCCATATAACCCGGAAAAACCTACAACAACCCATCAAGTTTATCCCTTAGAAAGATAACTCATTGTGAACAAAAAAGCCTATTTTGAGTTATCTACAATGTCTTGATCCTTGAGAGTTCCAGTTCTCTAAAGGAAGGCGAGAAGCAATCCCCTGGGGAAAAGATGTCACGTGCATGTTTCTTTCACTAAGAACTATAGCCGCCAGGCAGCGATGGCATAAGAAGGATGATAAAAAAAGTGTATTGGTCAGACTACACAGAGAAGCCATTGAAATAAACAAGCATGTGGACAATTTCAACAGAAAGGAGGAAACCATGAAAATGAACAAAATCTGGCTACCAGTATTAAAAAACTCTAAAATTACAACAGCAAAACAACAGAGAGGAAACAATCAGGGACAGCTAATCACCTCTCAACAAAAGATTGCCCCAGGCACTAACAAGCCACACCAAACAACTACCAGGCCATCAAATGCTAATCAAGGTGGTCAGTTGAAACATTCACACCTAGCTCCAACAGACAAGAGTCCTTTGTCCCACCCTGGTCATTCCACAGATATATAAACCCATTTTCCTAGTTCCAACATACCTCACTACCTCTGAGGATGCTTGCCATAGATGCAGGCGAAACGTCAGGAGAGAGTGCCTCTAGAACATGACCATATATCCATGAGAAAAGCCTCAAAAATAAATATGTTTAAATATATATAAGTGTGTGTGTGTGTGTGTATTATAGATAGAGAGAGATAGAGAGAGAGAATAATGTAAATATAAATGATCCAATATACATAAAATAACATAATGGAATTATAAATAGTCTAATATAATTATAAAATTGATAGAAATAAATGAGTATGAAAAATGCACAAGGAAAGCCCCAAGACTTAATATAATGTCCAAATAAATAATATAGACATAATAATGCTAAAATTGGTGGAAGGCAAAAGGGAGAGGGGCCGACCAAGGGCAAGATGGATGGATGGCATCCTTGAAGTGACTGGACTGGCCTTGAAGGAGCTGGGGGTGGTGACAGCCGACAGGGAGCTCTGGCCTGGGCTGGTCCATGAGGTCACGAAGAGTCGGAGACGACTGAACGAATGAACAACAACAACAATGCTAAAATAAATAATGTAATGTAAACAAACATAAATATAAATAAGACATTATAAAATAATGTAAAACAAACACTTAATTATAATTCATCTAGTTATAAAATTTAATAGACATAATGAGTCTGAATGCATAAGGAATAATGCACAAGAAAAGCCTCAAAACTTAATATAATGCTAAAAGAAATAATATAAACAGAAAAGATTTGATATAAATATAAATAATACGGTACCGTTCCATTATATAATATAATACATGATAAAATCTAATGGAAATAATGTAAAATAATAAATTATAAGTAGTATAATTATAAAATCGAATCGAATCATAATAATTTGTAATTACTTGTTTGTTTTACATTAATAATTAACACAGCACTAAGAGATGTAATATAAATAATATAATATATCTAAATAAAAATGCAATGTTCGTTTGTGGGATTAATATAACTCAAAAACCACTGGACGAATTGACACCAAATTTGGACACAAGACACCTCTCAGGCCATCGAGTGACCACCACTCATAAAAATACTTAAAAAACACAGCAGATGGGATTTAAAAAGCCAAAAAACAAAAACAAATCATTTTTTTATTTATCGTGTCATCAGCAACCATTGTGTTACAATTCTAACAGAGCAAAACAAACACACAGATTAAAAAGAAAAAGGAAAAAAACACACAGATTTTGCAAATTTGGTATTTGGTTAAATGTCCTTTGACCAGTATCTGGCCACTTGGAGTGCCTCTGGTGTTGCCACAAAACATTACAACGCACACACAAAACCATATATATACACACACAAACACACATATATACACACACAAACACACATATATGCACACATATATGCGTATACACACACAAAATATACACAGAAAGGAGGAAAGAAGGAGAGAAGGAGGGGAGGAGATAAAGAAAGAAAGAAAGGTAGAGAAGGAAAGAGGGAGAGAAAGAGGGAGGAGAGAAGGAAGGAGAAGGAAGGGTAGAGAAGGAAGAAGAAGAAAGGAAGGAGAGGAGGGAAAGAAGGAGGGAAGGGGAGAAGAAAGGAAAAAAAGAAAAGTAGAGAAGAAAGGAAGGAGAGGAGGGAGAGAAAGAGGGAAGGAGAGAAGGAAGGAAAGAAGAAAGGGTAGAGAAGGAAAGAGGGAGAAGAAAGAGAAGGAAGGAGAGAAGGAAGGGTAGAGAAAGAAGGAAGAAAGGAAAGAGAGAAGGAGGGAAAGAAGGAGGGGAGGGGAGAAGGAAGGAAAAAAAGAAAAGTAGAGAAGAAAGGAAGGAGAGAAGGAGGGAGAGAAAGAGGGAAGGAGAGAAGGAAGGAGAGAAGGAAGGGTAGAGAAGGAAGGAAGGAAGAAAGGAAGGAGAGGAGGGAAAGAAGGAGGGAAGGGGAGAAGAAAGGAAAAAAGAAAAGTAGAGAAGAAAGGAAGGAGAGAAGGAGGGAGAGAAAGAGGGAAGGAGAGAAGGAAGGAAAGAAGGAAGGGTAGAGAAGGAAAGAGGGAGAGAAAGAGGGAAGGAGAGAAGGAAGGAGAGAAGGAAGGGTAGAGAAGGAAGGAAGGAAGAAAGGAAGGAGAGGAGGGAAAGAAGGAGGGAAGGGGAGAAGAAAGGAAAAAAAGAAAAGTAGAGAAGAAAGGAAGGAGAGAAGGAGGGAGAGAAAGAGGGAAGGAGAGAAGGAAGGAAAGAAGAAAGGGTAGAGAAGGAAAGAGGGAGAGAAAGAGGGAAGGAGAGAAGGAAGGGTAGAGAAAGAAGGAAGAAAGGAAAGAGAGAAGGAGGGAAAGAAGGAGGGGAGGGGAGAAGGAAGGAAAAAAAGAAAAGTAGAGAAGAAAGGAAGGAGAGAAGGAGGGAGAGAAAGAGGGAAGGAGAGAAGGAAGGAGAGAAGGAAGGGTAGAGAAGGAAGAAAGGAAAGAGAGAAGGAGGGAAAGAAGGAGGGGAGGGGAGAAGGAAGGAAAAAAAGAAAAGTAGAGAAGAAAGGAAGGAGAGAAGGAGGGAAAGGGAGAAGGAAGGAGAGAAGGAAGGAAAGAAGAAAGGGTAGAGAAGGAAAGAGGGAGAGAAAGAGGGAAGGAGAGAAGGAAGGAGAGAAGAAAGGAAGGAGAGAAGGAGGGAGAGAAAGAGGGAAGGAGAGAAGGAAGGAAAGAAGAAAGGGTAGAGAAGGAAAGAGGGAGAGAAAGAGGGAAGGAGAGAAGGAAGGGTAGAGAAAGAAGGAAGAAAGGAAAGAGAGAAGGAGGGAAAGAAGGAGGGGAGGGGAGAAGGAAGGAAAAAAAGAAAAGAGAAAGAGGGAAGGAGAGAAGGAAGGGTAGAGAAGAAAGGAAGGAGAGAAAGAGGAAGAAGGAAAGAAGGAAGGGTAGAGAAGGAGGGAAAGAAGGAGGGGAGGAGATAAAGAAGGAAAGAAATAAAGGTCGAGAAGGAAGGAAGGAGAGGAGGAGGGAGAGAATGAAATAAAAAAGTGAAAGAGGGAAGGAAGGAGAGAAGGAAAGAAAGAGAGAAAGAGGGAGGGAAGAAGGAAGGAAAGAGACAAGGAAGGATGGAACCAAAGAGCAAAGGAAGCGAGAAAAGAAACAGGTAGAGAAGGAAGAAAGAAGAAGGGAAAGAAAAAGAGGGAAGGGAAGAAAGGAAAGAGGGAGGGAAGGAACGAAGGAAGGAAGAAGAGAAAGAAATTCATCTGAAATTTAGAATTAGAATTTAGCATTAGTTCACACGCTATGAAATCCCCAACGCGCCCCCTGGAGGCCAGATGAGCAATGTACTCCTTCAACCGAGGGGCGTGGCCTTGCTTGGCGGTTTATCCAATGGGAAGGCGGGGGCGGGGTTTCGTGCCCCTCCTAGGTCTTCGCTCTGCGCGAGGAAAACTCTCTTCCGGGCTTCTTCTCTGCGTCATAAGGAGGCGCCTGTGCCGCGCATGCGCGGAAGAGCTGCCGGCTCTGTAGGAAGCAGGAGAGGCGCCATTTTTCCCTGAGCGCCGCCTGAGCAGGAAGGCAGGCAGGCAGCCGGTGAGCGGGAGCAGAATTGGGCCTACACCATACTGAGAAAACCTGTTGTTATATTATTACTGTTATGTTTATTATTATGTTTTTATTTTCCACAGAAGAGACTTCAAGCCTATATAGAATCCTAGAATCAAAGAGTTGGAAGAGACTAGGTTCTTGTGGGGGTTTTTTCGGGCTATATGGCCATGTTCTAGAGGCATTCTCTCCTGACGTTTCGCCTGCATCTATGGCAAGCATCCTCAGAGGTTGTGAGGTCTCTTGGAACTAGGAAAAAGGGTTTATATATCTGTGGAATGACCAGGGTGGGACAAAGGACTCTTGTCTGCTGGAGCTAGGAGGGAATGTTTCAACAGACCACCTTAATTAGCATTTGATGGCCTGGCAGTGCCTGGGGGAATCTTTTGTTGAGAGGTGATTAGATGTCCTTGGGTTGTAGGTTTTTCCGGGCTATATGGCCATGTTCTAGAGGCATTTTCTCCTGACGTTTCGCCTGCATCTATGGCAAGCCTCCTCAGGTAGTGAGGTCTCTTGGAACTAGGAAAAAGGGTTTATATATCTGTGGAATGACCAGGGTGGGACAAAGAACCCTTGTCTGTTGGAGCTGGGTGTGAATGCTTCAACTGACCACCTTCATTAGTATTTGATGGCCTGGCAGTGCCTGGGGGAATCTTTTGTTGAGAGGTGATTAGATGTCCCTGATTGTTTCCTCTCTGTTGTTGTGCTGTTGTAATTTTAGAGTTTTTTAATACTGGTAGCCAGATTTTGTTCATTTTCATGGTCTCCTCCTTTCTGTTGAAATTGTCCACATGCTTCTTGTGGATTTCAATGGCTTCTCTGTGTAGTCTGACATGCCATCAAATGCTAATCAAGGTGGTCCCACCCTGGTCATTCCACAGATATAAAAGATATATATAAAAGAACCTAGTGATTCCAGCCATGAAAGCCTTCGACAATACAGTTGGAAGAGACCTCCTGGGC